GTAAGTTTTAATGTGATCCCATCAAATTAAAGGAGGAATCTGGCCGGAATTATTGATTTGAGACTGGCCCGTATAACCAGCTACAATAATTACAAATTATATCATGGCTATTAAAAATCGACACAAAATAAAATGGTCGTTTAAAATTTAAATGACTATTTTATTTTGTGTAGATTTTTAATAGCCATTTAAATAAAATGTTATATTGTAAAATGGTCATTTTCCTGACGTCGCGTTGTAATATTTATATATTAAATACATACGCGATGACCATCAAGGACTCTGGACTCGTGCCATAATTCTTTGGCTGCAGGACTGATATTTTTTGTTAAAAGTATTTGGTATTATAATTCTAACTCACCTTTTTCAGAAAACATAAAATAATAAAGTGTTTGACCATATTGGGACCCGAAATACTGGGAAACGTCGATAACTCCAACTTTCATTTTTGAGATAACTATAATATAAGCCCTTTTTATAAAATGCCGACGATCTATAATAGTTATTTAAGAAATTTAGCTGGATTGATATGCACTATGCTGTAATGCTATTGCTGGCCTAAAACACGTTAAACTTAAAGCTAGTCAAGTGATACTGATGGTGAAAGTTTTCCATAACCGACAATGTCCGGCGTTGTTCTGAGGAATCAGGAAGTGCGCTGCCGCTATTGTGTTAAACTGTGTGTCAGTGTGTTACTGTTATAACGTGGACGCAGTATAGAATTTGATAAAGCAAGCAAAAAACTGAAAATGATCAATCACCAGTCTGAGTCACCAGTCAATTTCATCACCAATGTAGCTCACAAGGTGGTTTATCTTAAAATTTATAAAAGAAATTTGGATGAATTTCATTTGTCAAACGATGTCGTTTTACTTTCAACTCACTTTCAAGGTACATCTTATTAATATTATATCATTTATATTTGATAGGTTTTGCCTCTAGTATTACTATTATAGCGCAGGCTCAACGTGACCATAGCGACTTGCCATGCCGCAAAAATGCAATGCTTGAATGGCCACGCTACGACACTAAGCTAAATAGGGTTTGTACGGAAAGGGTTTAAAAAGGGTTTGTAAAACATAAAAAGGGTCTGTACGTGAGAAAGACTTAAACTTCTACTTATATTAATTTAACGGGTGATACTCGTAAAATATTTTTTTCAATCGGCGCGTCCTGGTCGTACTGGTACATGGTAGGTTATAAACCTAAAAATATAAACGGACACGTTCATTTGAGTTTGAGGATATTGGTAAATATAAGTGACCCTATTAGTATTAAAAGGCACAGTGTAGTTGACTTTGTCACACTATGAAATTACTTAAACCCTTGATGGTTAGGATAATCGTCTCATCCTCTAGGCTAACTTTGTCACATAACGATATCTTAATCAGGTGATGAGATATCGCTTAAATACGGCCGGCACGGAAATGGTTACATTGTCACACTATAAACATGTGACGGAGTAAATATGGACCCCTTGCTGCCGTTTTTGACCAAATTTTTGAGTGTCCAGTTGATTGGATGGGTACATATGACCATTACCTACATATTTGACGACTTTTTTCGTTAGATGATGCATTCAGGTTTACTCTGTCACACATTAAAGAAAATATGTGATGAATGTTTAGGGCACCCTGATAAGCAATGCTGAGTAGTGTAAGTTTATTTGATGGCCTGGAAGTGCTGGGAATTGTTATTATATCATATAGTCGTAGTTTGGATCGATTAATACTTTACTTTTTTTAGGTAATATACAGGGTGGGCCAAAAGTCAGTACCCATACGTTGGCCTTAATAGCTCCGCCGTGTTTTATATTTGAGAGCTGTTGCTTTGCAGATGGCATACTGTACTTACTGGTTCGAGGATTCCGTCGTCAAAATTTGAAAATTCGAATATTTTAGACCACGCCCATTCAATATTAAAACACCTATATTGTTTTCTCTGAACATGCTGAACGCCTAATTTTTTCAGAAACGGTAGATTATCAAATGTTGCATATGATCTGAAAACATGAGGCAAAACGGATTAGAAATGACGAAGTTATCAAGCATTTTCTGTATCTCGTTAACAATATTGACTGGGTGATTATGTGACACCGTGACACGACACCTTAATTGGGCACCCATAACAATTCCCATAATGTTTAACGGGGTAGTTAACGGGGGCACCTTATCACGTGATCAGGTAAACCAATCACCTGATCACACGTAATGAATAAACTCGTTATGCTTCATATCTCGGTCATCTGAGAAGCTACAGTTCTAATTCTTTCAGGACAAACGTAATTCGAATGGCCAAACACAATTCAATATCATTTAGCTTGATCCGACTATCCAAACTATCAAATAAATGTGAAAATGAACCTCCATTTGAAAAAAATGAACGCGAATATTTTTCGAGTTGACAAATTCCTCGAACCAGTGGTGGTACTAAGTCATACCAGAAAGAAGTATTAAAATTGGGCACTCAGTGACTGAGCTATAAAGGCCAACATATGGGTACTGACTTTTGGCCTACCCTGTACCTGTAATAAATCCTATGCCAATTTTAACACACTATCTTGATACTGTTGGGGCAGGGAAAGTTAATTCTGTCACATTTTCAGTGTCTTTGACAAATTAATCTAAATTTTAAAAATTGAGTTCTTATGTTCTGGACAATATTCTACCAATCGTTTCTGAAAGAATCTTGAATTCTAATAGAGTTATAGATCTTCAAAATAGGGGCAAGACATGTTTACTTTGTCACATCAGTTATTATAAGTGTTAGGTAATCGTCATCACATAAACATATATTTTTTGTAGTTTGGATTGATTTATATAGGTAATAAAGCAGCCTATGCTAATTTTTACACACTATCTTGAAATTGTTGGGGCATGAAAAATTTAATTTTGTCACATTTTTAGTGACTTTGACAAATTTAGCCTAAAATTGTTAAACTTAAGCTCTGATGTTCTGGACAATATTCTAATAGAGATATAGAATATAGATCTTCAAAATAGGGGCAAGACATGTTTACTTTGTCACATCAGTTATTATAAAAGTTATTATAAGAGACTATTTCATTCTATAATCATTGTTTTTATCTATTTACGATTTCGTATAATTTTTGTGACAATGTAAACATCAACTGATCTTAACTTGCATCAACTACATTGTCATCATATAAAATTTTCCCGCCTTTCAAACCAAAATCAGATATAAATTATTCGCCCAAAATTTTAAATTTCATATATTGTGACAGAATTAACCTCATTTCCCAATAACCAAGTGCCTGTATTAGCTACCTTATCGGACCTTATTTGGACGGACATTACTTGAACGGACATAATTATGAACGGACATTAATATAAACGCTAGAAGGCAATCAAAACCATCAAAAATCCGAATTTTTTTCATCCTTTTTTGAAATTTTTGAAATTTTAGCAAATGATTTTTAAATCCATTTTCATACAATAAGCTTATCTGCGCTGTGTAGATAAGGTACGAAGGTACCTACAGGACTAGATTAGATACTGTCGGTTACATACCTAGGGAGATATTATCCCGGTTTGTCTTCTACTTTATCGAGATGGATGGTATGGTAGAATTGGTATCGTAGCTGAAATAAACCAACGAAGGTCGCCTATACCAAGTGGGAGGCTAGATATAAAACTTAAGCTGTACTTTAGGCATTCAAGTATCTCTCTAGTAGAGCAGTTGGGATCGTTCATTACCCGGTACGACTACGAGTTGGACAGACAACCAGTTGTAAGAGAAAATGTGGAGGTAGAAGAAGCCGAAGATCAACTTCAAGATAGTGATCATGCAATAATGTGATATTTACAATTAAGATTGTTGAAATTTTATAATACCTTGTTTTTATTAATTCAACAATATATTTTAGTCTAATGATAGCTATTGAAATTGACTGAAATTAGAAAGTTGTCATATTCTGGACAAAAAGTTCGAAATTACAAAATTTTTGAAAAAAATTGAACGGACTTTAACTTGGACGGACATTAATTGAACGGACTTTATTTGAACGGACATTAAGATGAACGTTAGGGCCTCCAGCGTTCAAGTAATGTCCGTCCAAATAAGGTCCGATAAGGTAACTATTCAAAATAACATATTTTAGGGCTATGCTTGGTAGAGCAACCATAAACTAATGAGTTGAAAGGGTTTTTAGGACACCTCACAGTAGAATAGAGGTATGGTATCATGAGTGTGACAAAGTTACCCAAATATTGCCTTGTAACCGTTCGATCCGTGCCCATTAACCAATGTTGTATCATAATTGTTAGATTGACCTAATTTACTATATTTCAGACCAAGGAATGATAATTAGACAACTGCAGTTAACTAAGTCACACAAAATGTGACATTTGAAACATTATAGTGCCTAACAACAATAGATTTTCTTTCTGAGCGGTGCATATGGGAGTATGGGTTACGTGGCTAATGTTCAGAACTTCTGAACGTGCTAGGTTAATAGATGTCAAAATTAAGCCACTATCGTCAAAAACGCTATTATTTTTGTTTGCCAATATCCTCAAACTCAAATGAACGTGTCCAACTCCAAACCTACAAATATTAATCCGCTTTCAGTTTTACTAATTCACTCGCTAGCTATGCCTCTAGCGCGCTGTATGTTACAAATACAATTACTTGACTTGGGATTTTAGTATTTAGTATTTAGTTAATTTACTGTTTTGTAACCAAAAGAAACGGTCTCACCGGAAGTGCAACCCCAACCCTAGTAATCCTAACCAGGGGGATGTTTATTGTTTCGGAATCAGCTTTAAAAATAAAATACATCCAAAAATACATCGAATGACACTATTTTTATTTGGTCAGGGGCCCCTCAATTCTGTAAAAATTGAAACTCCTTGACAAGTGATTCATTGGGACAACTTAATCCACGGTTAAAATCCGAAAACGCTTCAATTTACGCACTGAACTATTTAGCGCTTGTGCGATATTTCAACAATTACAAAAATGTAAAATGTCGCACTTCTGATCTCGAGCTAATAGTAATACAATCACAGTGCTGGCAAGCACGACCGGTGCATTTATTGTGGGTATACTATGTACCCCCTTTACTATTATACCCCATTTACTATTATACCCCCTTTACTATTATACCCCCTTTGGTACACGTTACAAGCCTCTTTCGTGCACGCGAAGCGTGCACTCCGGCCGGAGGCGGCGGCCGAAGGCCGCCGCCTCCCGAGCGTACTAAATCACTCTACAGTCGATCTTCGAGATTGTTCTAAAAGGGCCCCCGACAGTTGAAATCAACTTCAATCGATGTATTTTCGGACGCTGATTCCGAATCACCCCCCATGATATAGGGTTAAAATGCTCCCCTGACGAGATATAGGTGAAAAACTGTCTCGATCACGTGATATGACCGTATAAGGAAGTTAGTCTAATTTCTCGTTAGGGTTAGGGTTTCAGCATATGCTTTTGTTAAGGATTGGGTTAGGGTTAGGGTTGGGATCAGATAAGAGGGTTAGGGTTTCGAATAGTCGTTCAGGACCAGCTAGAGAACGGGTTGAAAAAGTCACGTGACAGTCGAGTGTAGAGTGATTAATTATCATCCGCCGCCTCCGGCAGGAGTTTTTCAGGCATTAAGACTCATCGGAAGTCGTTCAGCAGATTTATTTTTAGTTCAAAACATTCTAATTTGATGTAAAAGATGACAGGAATAAAAAATAGTTATGTTGAGATTTTTAAGAAATTTGCATAAAATACTCGCCAGCACTGTTATACGAAATTCGGTAAAAAACCCAAAATCGCCATATTCAGGTGCCTTAAAAACCATGTTAAAATTGAGTTAGAGATCTGAAATTTTTCAGGGCGTCTAGACGTTGACCAAATCGACTGCAAAAAAAGTTTCAGGTTTCAGGAACATCGGGAAGTGGGTTTTCTAGAACCCCTGTTTTACGACAGATTGTCGTGATATCTATATATATACATATATACATATATATATATATATTCAGGGATAGACGCTTTGCCAGTCAATTGTAGCCTGTATTTAATTGTCCATAGATTCAAAAGTATAAAAGATACAGCCATTTCCGACCACAGGTCTTGAATATAATTGTTTACACTTTAGTTTACATTGTATAAACAAATTATTTGACGTCATGAACACCCCTTGATGACGTCATCAAGTTAACCGTTTTTAAAACTTGATTTTTGACAAAGTAATAACTTTTAAAAATGATTTTACACCATTAAAAAGTAATTGTATTCAAAATCTGAGGAAATTTTCATCTTAGATAATTGTTCAAGCATTCTGAAAATCTACCGGAAAGTTTTTCTAGCTTGCTCCTTCATAAAGATATTCGTCATTGAAGTTTGTGCTTTTTTGAAGAATTATTTTATAAAAACGTCAATTTTGCGATTTAGTATTCTCTGGTGTTGGGCCATGCCTTGGGTTGTGGAGCTCAGTTCTGCTTTCTATAGGTATAAATTGTGCATTAGGCTAGTTTTAAAGTTAAAAATCGAAAAGTTGCACACGTGGGGACACGCCCAAATTGATAGAAAATTGCTAAAATCACTGAAAATTGCTGTTTTCGTCATTTTCTGTCAACTTTAGAGTGCCGTTGTGATTACAGTTCTTCTTGAAATACTTTGAAACTTTGCATGCTTATCAAGCTATATATAAAACAATTACATGCAAAAATTTACGGCGATTCAATATTGGATGCGCACGCAACGTCCGCTCAAAGTTTGCACGTGCGAAAGGTGAGAATTTTGCTCATTCGTGATTTCCAACAAATTTTGCTTTGCCACGACAGTTTAATGTCATTATAAATGAATTTAATGCCAACTTGAATGAGTATTAAGTGGCATATTCAGTCAGTGATCGACCGATATGCTTACCTAAACACAAGGAAATGTTTTTAAAGGAAAAATTTCGAAATTGTTGAAACTTCCTCCTTATTAATGAAGATATCAGTTTATATTTCGACTTTATAAATAAAGTACCCTGACATTATAATCAAAAAGAGATGATATTTGACCAAAACCCATAATCATGGGTAGAGTGGACCGCTGCCAGTGTCTCTCTTTCCCAAACAAAAGGAAGTGATATTAATTTGATTGACCGTTCTCAAATGCAAAATGATACCGAGAATGAAATCGGTCGCTCGCTTTTCCCATTCATTTACAATTGTAATAGATTAAGAAGAACTACCCAAAGGCAGCTGTACTCGGCAATAAAGATTCAATAAACTTCAGCTAATTCAATAAGTAATAACTACCACCCTTACCCCGAAATACTAGGTATCAACTCGAACGCAACCCAAAGAGATTTTTACAGCATCTGATTGATGTACCTAATCAATCGAAACTTATTACAATTCGTAAGCCGTGAATGAATGGGAAAAGCGAGCGACCGATTTCATTCTCGGTATCATTTTGCATTTGAGAACGGTCAATCAAATTAATATCATTTCCTTTTGTTTGGGAAAGAGAGACACTGGCAGCGGTCCACTCTACCCATGATTATGGGTTTTGGTCAAATAATACATAGGGAACCTGTGATTAGTGTTTGTATTTATAAAAACTGATCGAAGATATTGCGTAGTGACAACTGACAGGCTAAGCGGCGAGTGCCGTCCTGCGTCCAGTAAACCTGTAAACCTAGTTCGCAATTCGATAAGCTACTACTACTAGTAGTAGTATTAATTATGCCGTGGATTTGTTCATTTATATTAGGTCCTTGTTTATATTGCCAGTACTATTACTGAGGGTGCAGCCCAGTCCCCAGGGCCAGACAATTAGAATTATCAATATTAAGCAAATCAATCAAAATAACATAATAATCAGTATCACATGCGATAAAAATAAGATATTTACCTTAACCAAAACTTTTTATTGAATCACGATTCACAAAAGTCGAATAAGTTTCACTCCATCAAATATTTTGCAATCAAGTTTATAAGATCCTACTATTTATTCGAATAAATAGGACAGTTAGAATTCAAACACTGGCTATCACTTATCATACTAATGTATCATACTATATATAAAGCGAGACGATATATATCTGTGCCATTTTACTGACACCACGGTATCGACTTTAACGCAACTTTCTGCAAAAAACCGTTTAGGGTTATATTTCACGGGTTCCTGCTAGTAACTATAACTGCTGGTGGAACTTTCTAAAAAATTTCAACTTCAAATATTTTCCTTTTCAATACTTAGGCACTCAAATAATATAAATGATACCAAACCGTTAAATGTTACTGTTAGTATAATCGCTAATGTTTCCTGATCATAAACTGAGCAAACCACACGAATGTAATTGTCATGATATAATGAGTTTCCAGGTGAGGAGAATCAGCTGAACTGGTCACTAACGCACTAACACACTCCGGTATCTCCTCACTCCAGGTGTTGTCACCACGGCATGTCAACTTACTGTGTCCCACCAACCTGTACCTGTAATTAAATAAGAGTTAACCTGCTGTGTCCCACCAACCTGTACCTGTAATTAAGTGAGGGTTAACCTGCTGTGTCCTACCAACTTGTACCTGTAATTAAATGAGGGTTAACTTGCTGTGTCCTACCAACTTGTACCTGGAATTAAATAAGAGTTAACCTGCTGTGTCCCACCAACCTATACCTGTAATTAAGTGAGGGTTAACCTGCTGTGTCCTACCAACTTGTACCTGTAATTAAATGAAGGTTAACCTGCTCTGTCCCACTAACCTGTACCTGTAATTAAGTGAGGGTTAACCTGCTGTATCCCACTAACCTGTACCTGTAATTAAATGAGGGTTAACCTGCTGTGTTCCACCAACCTGTACCTGTAATTAAGTGAGGGTTGACCTGCTGTGTCCTACCAACTTGTACCTGTAATTAAATGAGGGTTAACCTGCTCTGTCCCACTAACCTGTACCTGTAATTAAGTGAGGGTTAACCTGCTGTATCCCACTAACCTGTACCTGTAATTAAATGAGGGTTAACCTGCTGTGTTCCACCAACCTGTACCTGTAATTAAGTGAGGGTTGACCTGCTGTGTCCCACTAACCTGTACCTGTAATTAAGTTATGGTAAACCTGCTGTGTCCCATCAATCTGTACCTGTAATTAAATGAGGGTAAACCTGCTGTGTCCCACCAACCTGTACCTGTAATTAAATAAGGGTTAACCTGCTGTGTCCTACCAACATGTACCTGTAATTAAATGAGGGTTAACCTGCTGTGTCCCACCAATCTAATAATGTAGCCTTGACAGGTCTAATAATGTAGCCTTGACAGGTGACTTCAATGTTGATCTTTTGGTCCAGGGACGAAACATAGCTGAATTTGAACAAACTATCTACAGTAACAATTTAATCCCTTTGATATCGATTGCCACCCATGCCAAGCCGGGTTGCAACGAAAGCTTAATTGATAATATTTTAGTGAACTCTACTGAGCGTGTCTTAGGATCTGGAATTCTTGAATCCAAGATTTCCCGTCATAACCCAATCTTCTGTTTCATATCGTGTAATACTAAAGAGAGTCCAAATGATACCAAACTTAAACCTAAGTATGATTACTGTGAGTCTAATATAGAAAGCTTCCTTAATGATATTGGAAGGGATATCTACCGATCGAACTTTTCGTATGATGAGGAAGGTTTTGAAAAATTTGTCGAAACTGTCCATGAAAAAATCGAACAGAATTTCAAATTGGACTCTACTGCTGGTTTTCAATCAAAACGCAATAGATTGATGAATCCATGGATCACTTCTGCGTTTATTAAATCTGTGTTTACTAAAGGCTTTCACTACAAGCGATGGAAGGCTTCGTGTACCAAAATCAACCCATTAGGTGAGGAAACTTTATATCTTAAGTATAAGGAGTATCGTTCTATCCTAAACAAAGCTATAAAATCTGCGAAAAAAGCCCACTATGGAAAAAAATTTGAACTTGCTAAAGGAAATATTAAAAAAACCTGGGAATTGATTAACGAACTCAGGGGTAAATCTAAAAAAGATATAAAAGCATCATTCTTAATTGATGGTCGAATTGTAACTGAACGCCGTGAGATTGCTAACGGATTTAACATCTACTTCTCGTCTATTGCTCGTAATCTTAATTCAAAAGTTCAATCTTCTGTACCATCTCGTACGGTAACTGATGGCAATTTTATTAAGACGAAGTTTAAACAATACCTCAAGGGCAGAGAAAGAATAGTGAACTCTTTTTTTCTCAGCCCCTGTGACGAGGAAGAGATAAGTAAAATCATTGGTAGCCTTGAAAATGGGAAGGCAAGTGATATCTCTGTTAAAGTCTTAAAAAAGAGTGTAAATTATCTGTCTGGTCATATCTCTAGATTCTTTAATTGGTTCTTGGACAATGGGGTCTTTCCAAACAAGCTTAAAACGGGCTCTATTACACCAATTTATAAAAAAGGAGACTCACGATGCCTTGATAACTATCGACCTGTTTCTACATTACCGATATTTGGAAAAATACTTGAAAAAATAATCTATAATAGGTTATATAATTACCTCAGTGCTATGAACGTGATTTATGATCGACAATTTGGTTTTAGAAAACAACACTCAACATCTCATGCCGTAAACTATTCTGTCAATAAAATACTTAATGAGATTGAACAGAAAAATCATGTAATTGGAATATTTATTGATCTAAGTAAAGCATTTGACACAATTGAGCACGATAAACTCCTGCATAAACTTGAACACTATGGAGTAAGAGGTATTGCACTAAAAACTCTTGCTAGCTATCTAACAAACCGTAGCCAAGTAACTTCTTTTCAAACTGAAAAGTCGGACAAGTGTTCAGTTGAGTATGGTGTACCCCAGGGGTCAGTGTTAGGACCTCTACTATTTCTGATTTATATAAATGATATTGTGAGCTCCTCAAGCTTGGCTGAATTCGTCCTGTTTGCTGATGATACAAATATTTTTGTGATAGGTAGTTCAGCACAGGAAGCTTTTGAAAAAGCTAATCATGTAATGAAACAAGTCAGTAACTATATGGAGTCTAACAAGTTACATATAAATGCAGGGAAAAGTTGTTATATGCATTTTCAGCCAGGTTTGTCAAGAGCGACACAGACCTGTGCCAGAACACGGCCCTTTAACAGGAATCTAACGATTTTAATAGATGGCAAAAAGCTAGAAAAAGTTCAATGTACAAAGTTTCTTGGGGTGATAATAGACGAACAGCTAAGCTGGGAACCACATCTTAATCATTTATCTTTAAAACTGAACTCCAGTATTGTATCGATTAAGAGAATTTGCAAATTCATTCCCAAATCTGAATATTTGAAACTATACAATGCTCTTTTTATGTCACATCTTAGCTATTGTATAAGTTGCTGGGGTGGGATCCCTAAACATAAGCTGAATAAAATCTTTGCAATTCAAAAACGATGTATAAGACTGCTATTTGGTAACATTCCCAATTTTGATCATAAAGAATACTATTTAACCTGTGCACGTTCAAGAACTTATAACGAACATATGGCTAGCAAGAACTACTGTCTTGAACACACTAAACCGCTATTCACAGAGCAGAAAATTATGAACCTGGAGAATCTGCACATGTACCATACATTTATGGAATTATTCAAAATTCTTAAATTTGATGTCCCCCAGTCGATTAAAGATCTTTTCAAGTTCTGTCCTAGAAATGAAAAACTTCGTCTGATTGTCCCATTACTGAGGTTGGATATCTCCCAACAGAACTTTTTGTACACCTCTACGAAAATTTGGAATGACCTCAGCCCCTATGTATTCGAAATATGTGATGCTAATGTAGATGGGTTGATAATCCCGGGTTCTTCCAAGAATTCAGACTTATCAGCTTCGTCAGGTGTTATTAAATCTAACCTTAAAAAGCACTTGCTATCCCTCCAAAATCGAGATGACCCTAATACATGGTAACTAATCTATATTATATCTCAAACTCTACATCCGGTACGGCTATGCACACATGATATCTCTCTCTGCCATGAAACATGGCTAACCTTTTAAACTGTGATTCAAAACCTAACGCTAAACTAAAACTCAACTGGGCTCTCCTTTGTCACCAAACTAAACCAATAAGTAATTTAAGATTATTATATTTTTCTATATTTGTATACTGTAATTAGTATATTGACGTAGTGGATGGTTGAGGGGGTTTCAAGCACAGGTCACTCTCAAATCCTAAAGATAAGCAGTGGCCTTCGGCACTTGAAACCTCTTCAAACCTCCCCTGATTTATTTATTATTGATATTGTTTGATTGTGCCGTAAAAATAAATATTTGTTTTATTAAATATTTGTTTTATTAATCTGTACCTGTAATTAAATAAGAGTTAACCTGCTGTGTCCCACCAAACTTTACCTAGATTCTTACCCATATATTTGAGGGTTAACCTGCTGTGTCCCACCAAATTGCAGTTGGAATTAAATGCGAGTTAACCTGCTGTGTCCCATAATCTCATAATCAACTTGTAGAATCTTACCCATTTTTGCAGGAGAAAGGGATTATATCACCAGGAACAAAAGGTGGTCCATCAGCTACTTTACTCGATGAAGCTGTTGTTTCTCCATATTGCACACTTTCCGTTATGTCTTTACACCCTCCTGTGGGAAATAAATAGGACATTAATTTAGCGCTGAACGTATCTTAAAGTCTTAACTAATTGTTTAGTACTATATATTATAAAGTTAGAACGGCATGGGCAGCGTTCCCCTACTAATGAAAATGCCTTTTCAAGCTTGCTATACAAATTTTAGTTGACGTAATGTTAAACGTAAAGTGAGCGGAAATATATCAGATTGATGCTAAACGTCAGTTGCTGTTGAGTAATTAGTTGGGGCATGAGTTCTCTGCGATAGTTGATTTATCAGCATCACAATACGATTACGTACGTAATGCTTACTGGGTGGCCCTAGTTCGCACGATATAAACGGTTTCAGCTGTTTTTAAACCAAGCTAAATGTCAATGCTCGTGGTTATTGGTTAATAATAATCCGTCTTTAAGATTAAACAGTTAGTGATATTTGCGATCTAGAGATACGATTATCAAATGATGAAGTAGTTCGCTGTTTATTTGTCTCATGATACGGATTGAGTAACTCAGCAAATCGTTAGTTGCTTGTCACGCGTGAAATATCCTTAACAATATAGTCAGTGTCAGTGTAATACTATTACTAATAATTGCGCCATGAGTTGGCACAGAACTTTTTTCTCCGATTTTGATAAATTTGATTAAGTGGTAGCAGCCGTTAGAATCATATATTCAGCCCATACAAGTGCAGCTTGACGTGGCGGTTCGCGTAAACTTGGGTTTAGTTTTTGATTAAATTTTACCTGGGGACCCCAGGCTAATATGTTCGTAGAAATTTGGCAGAATGACAGGCTGAGCGCCACCCAGTAAATTCAATTTAAATGCTGTTGTAGATGTTCATGTAAAATTAAATGTCCTCAAGCCTATCGCCATCGGTAGCTTGTTTATAATTAGAAATAGATTCATAATTTGATGTCTAGACAGTGTTATTTTTATTAGTATTACTGCAGAGAGCAGGCGCGCTATTCCTATACTATCATAAAAGTCATGAAGTCCTGAGTATTATAATTGAGCAAGCGGTTTTGAAAACGCATGCCATAGGACCGTTATATTATAGTCTAGGCGGTGCACGATAAAAATAAACTTGCTCGGATTTTCAAAATTTTTGGACCGTCGTTTTCTAGAGACTGTGAGAATTTTCACAGTACCAAATTTATTATACCTTTATGGAATGATCAGTGAGTTTCGCCTAGGTGCCATATTTGATGGTGCGCGGCTTTTGGAGCAAAATTAAGTGTAAAAGTCGCGTAATTTGACGAAATTCGTTGATTTTTGTCGTATTATTCTGTCATATCTTCGGTTCCTGAACATGAATCATGCTGAAAATTTGTCAGAACCTTCCAATCATACTTAACTACCGAACCTAATTTAGTTGGGAGAGATTGGCCTTGATTAAGAGGTCTAAAAATGACAAAATAGGTATAAATTCGTTGATAACTCAAATTCTGAGCATCGAAATTGCTCAAACTAAATTAGGTTCAGTAGAACATAAGTGTTTACGTAAGCTGACCAAATTTCAACAGAATTGTTATATGGGAAGTATTATAACTTTTCGATTGTTTCCAAAATAATGTGCTGGCCGAAATAAGAGCTAAAAACCATTCAATGGTCAGCGCGCGCGTCTTATCGTCGATGGCGCACTGACCGCGCGTATAATTTATACGCGCGGTCAGAAAAAGATGCAATTTTGTTCGTCAAATTTTTAATATTTACATTAAAGTCGTCAGCCTTTAAACTGCCTTATGAATACCAATTATCTAGGCTGACCGACTGCTGGCAAATGCACAACCAATGTGCCATGTGACAATCAAGTTGTTCTACCAAGGTACATTAACATAAGGTTTTCATATTGCTTTCGTTTTTAATGATACTTATTTGTAATTTTACAGTTTTTCGTGGATTTAAGTACTACTACTTGGCATATTATATTTATACGGTACACGATACTCATATTTTACATTCTATTTCTAACCATGGTGGTTATAATTCTGTACGTAGAGTCTGGAGTCGAATTATAATAGACTAATATTAGTTACCTACCTAGTAAAGTGTTTCAACTTAAAATTCAAGTAACCAAAAGAAAGTTAACCACAGTACAATTATCATAAACTCTCAGTGCTCACTCATTGCAGCAAACTGTTTAATATTGCTATTAAATAATATAATAGTCATACTAACGGACACAAGTTAGGCGGTTGTTCTCGTCCACTGACCACTCCACATCCAGCCCTGAACCACCAGTGGACACTTTCTGTTTGCACTGCAGAGTCTTGTAGCCAGTATCTCCCACTGCTTCTGTGTAACCGTTACCACATCTTAGTGACACCTGTATCGGTGATTGTGTTCAGGACTTTGGATCTGGAGTTAAACGGGGTTTATGCTTTTAATACTTATATTAACAATAGCCACAGCCTAAGCACTAAGTACTGGTGTGTGGTGGACGAGTTCAGGTCCTTTTCCACCTTTTCGGGCCATCTCATACATATGTATTAAGATATTACATAACTGATAACTAATATCCATAAACAATTAATCAACTTGAATAAATATGTTTCATCTTATAAACTATTTGAATCTTATAAACAAAACCTGCACCCGGACCACGTTTTGAGCTTTAAATTTCACGGCAGCGGTTTGGCTTAATATAATGTATATATATATAAAAGCTTAAGATACCGCGACGTGGCCGCGGTATTAAACCACGTAGTCTCAAACCACGTGGCAGTCTCAATCCACGGTCTTAAACCACGCCGGCTTACTCCTAGCTACCACAGAATACTGCTCATTCCTGAGAGCACGCTATCAGGGTTAAGTTTAGCAAGGCTCTCATTCTCACCACGGTTGCACTTATACCTCTGCTATTACCCTCACAGCTTATACAAGTTACCTGGCCTTGTCAATGTCATGACGTCATGTTATCAAATAAAAATTATGTCATCTTAGAAATAGCCCCAGTAATCAGTGTGCTATAAATGATCAGTGTTACCCAATACTCACAGCTTATAAAACGAAAAGGAACCTGCAGGTGTTGTCATGTTATCATGTTATCAAATAAAAATTATGTCATCCTAGAAACAGCCCCAATAGCCAATATGCTATAAATGACTGAGGTGACTCTAGAAGCCGATCAATAAGGTGTATATCCTCCCTGCCACGAGTCACTATATACTAGCCCCAACCACTGCACTCATATTATTTATTGATTTCTTTTCACAAAGCTGTTCACGTTCTAAAGTAATTAATGATATCTTTATGTTCATCTATATAGCAACTGAAGCAAAGAATAGTCCCCATAAAAATTGAACCGACCAGCCTGTTATCCGAGACATGACTTTTATTCAGTGACCCTTGATAAACAGATAATGATATGGTTGCGAATACCGAGTTTTAAAACCCGATGTGAGTCTCGGCTCGTGAGTATATGCTGCTAATTGATGATTTATAAACGTTAATAGTTTTTTCTCCGCCTTTTTGGGCCACCTCATACATAACTAATATCCACAAACAATTAATCAGCTTGAATAACTATTCTTCAAAAATCAAAATGACTTACATATAACTCAGCGTTGGGTTGAACTGGGGCTGAGTACTCCTCTGAGGTCACCAAACCAGGGGGATAAGTAACCTTGTAGCTGTACCGTGGTAACATGTGGCAACCCGCTGAGAGTTAGGGGGGGTAAGTAACCTTGTAGCTGTACCGTGATAACATGTAGCAACCCGCTGAGAGTTACGGGGGGGGGGGGGGGGGGGGTAAGTAACCCTGTAGCTGTACCGTGGTAACATGTGACAACCCGCTGAGAGTTAGGGAGGTAAGTAACCCTGTAGCTGTACCGTGGTAACATGTGACAACCCGCTGAGAGTTAGGGGGGTAAGTAACCTTGTAGCTGCACCGTGGTAACATGTAGCAACCCGCTGAGAGTTAGGGGGGGGGGGGGGGTAAGTAACCTTGTAGCTGTACCGTGGTAACATGTGACAACCCGCTGAGAGTTAGGGGGTAAGTAACCTTGTAGCTGTACCGTGGTAACATGTGGCAACCCGCTGAGAGTTAGGGGGGTAAGTAAACTTGTAGCTGTACCGTGGTAACATGTGACAACCCGCTGAGAGTTAGGGGGGTAACATGTGGCAACCCACTGAGAGTTAGGGGGGTAAGTAACCTTGTAGCTGTACCGTGGTAACATGTGGAAACCCGCTGAGAGTTAGGGGGGTAAGTAACCTTGTAGCTGTACCGTGGTAACATGTGGAAACCCGCTGAGAGTTAGGGGGTAAGTAACCTTGTAGCTGTACCCGGTACCGTGTTAACATGTAGCAACCCGCTGAGAGTAAGGGGGGGGGGGGTAAGTAACCTTGTAGCTGTACCGTGGTAACATGTGGAAACCCGCTGAGAGTTAGGGGGTAAGTAACCTTGTAACCGTGGTAACATGTAGCAACCCGCTGAGAGTTAGGGGGGGGGGGGTAAGTAACCTTGTAGCTGTACCGTGGTAACATGTAGCAACCCGCTGAGAGTTAGGGGGGGGGGGGTAAGTAACCTTGTAGCTGTACCGTGGTAACATGTAGCAACCCGCTGAGAGTTAGGGGGGGGGGGGGGTAAGTAACCTTGTAGCTGTACCGTGGTAACATGTGACAACCCGCTGAGAGTTAGGGGGGTAAGTAACCTTGTAGCTGTACCGTGGTAACATGTGGCATGGCAACCCACTGAGAGTTAGTGCTATTCAATGGTGAGAATTTATGATTATTTCATAAATCATTTGCTCGAGCACAAAGTTTATTGAGAAATTAATGGACTAGTAATGCATTTTTAGCCTATATTCAAGTCACCTTTATTAGGAAAAGATAGACTTATCAGCAATCCAATGTACCTACAACCCTATTAGCCATCTGGCTGACGTCTGTCTAACAGAGCTATAGCTGGGTGCAATAAAAAATACAGAAGCAAGAAGATTTCAAATGGTTTTAAATGGTCCCAATGTAACGTCGTTACTAACGGCGCTCTCAGCTTTGTTACATATTTTAGTTTTTTTTGTGATACTATTCAAATATCGTATTTTTAACTTTGATAAATAGTGCTTTACCTGTGGCTGTTGTGAGTGAATGTCTTTCTTTTTTATTTTTTTGTTTTTATTTTTTCTTTAAAAAAATCCTTTTTTCTTTTTTTTATTTGACCCTATCGAAAATTGATAAAATGTTCGCCCTCTGAAAAATCTAATAATCTCCAACCCTAATTACCTTTAACCTGTTTCGCTAAAACTGACCACCTACACGAACTCACGCGAACAGTAGGTGTATCTGAGTTGAGAAGTGTCGGGGACCCCGGTAGCTGAGTATTTGTACCAAATGTTGGGGTGCCAGGCTCCATCTACTCCACATTGTACCACTATCCTTTGATCTGTATCTACCGTATCTACATCTACATCTGGCACCCGTCTAACTCCGTTTGAAAATGTCTGCAAGGGAGAGAAAGGGTATCTAGATACTGATAATACGAACCCAAATTACATGAACACAATATGATTTAGGAAAAAAAACTTGCCTCCTGTGTCATTAGTGATTATACTATTATAGTATAGGGCCATGTGGATAGCACATGAATGCAACGTTTACATCAAAATTGTGTTTTTATGCATGACCAAATCCGCTATCAAAATTATTTATCAGTTATCGAGTTAGTACATACTACATATTATAATGGTAACCATGAATAACACTCACAAAGCCAGTAGAAAGACACTTTACAGTGACAGTTGCCCAGGTGGCTCCCGAGTTTAGATTCCCGTTATTATCTGTTCCGTTACCATCCAGTTTAACACCGTACTTCCCACCGTCCAGTGATGCTGGGGTACATGTGCTCTTCCCTGCAGTTACGAAATGGTTGAGTTATGAGTATTGAGCGATCTGTAACCTTATCAAGCAATTATGAAGGAGCTTTTGTCAGATATTTCTACGATTTACATTCGATAGGTACGCCTTTACGACATTCATTGATTAATATGCTCAGTCGTAGGAATAAATTGCCAGAGCACCTCAATAGTTTAGTTAAACGGTCGTTTGATTTACGTATGCAGCTTATATTAAGATTATAATATGTGATATCATCTGAAACTGGAATCAGTTCTTGTTTTTCCCCCGGGCCCCGCATAATCGAATTGCCTCATGATTACAGCTATGAGTATGAGCTAAATCTTACGTTTTTAAACAATAATTAAACCTGATTTAAGAAGGGATGTCAGCAGCAACAGTACACCTGTTATCTTGATGCTCATGTTATTGTTGCACTGGAAACTAGCTCTCTGAATAGCTTATATATACCTCAGGTCATGCCAATTTAATATTCATTCTTGGCTGTGCTGACAATAAGTTGTTGATTTACTGACATGGATATAACATATAACCCTTTAATCGTCAGGATCAACTTTACTCGTTAACGTCTATTTATATTACTGTTAAAAATTTTATATTCTTAATTTAAATGGAGGCGATGTGATTATGTATACAAATACAATCTGTAAATTAAATTGAAAGAGTTATAATTGTATAAATTAATAGCCATCACAATAAAAATATTCCTGATTTTACATGAGAATGCTAGAATATCCGTTCGCGTTGCAGTTATTGATTATTTTATATGAGAATGCTAAAATATCCGTTCGCGATGCAGTTAATAATTATTTTACACGAGCTGAATTGAGTGGTCGAGAATGCTCAATTTCTCTCTTCAATTTAACTGCACAGTCCCATTTTCAGGTGAAACATTCCAAACATTCCTTCTCTTCCTGCTGTTCTCGTTGTAAACACAGGTGGGGAGGTCACTGTCCCAAGTGTTGTCTCCCTTGCATACCAACGTCTCGTTTCCTACCAGCACAAAATCTGGGGAACACAATCTGGTTGATGGATATCTTAGAGCCTAGATATTTGCCAAAACATATTCTTCAGCCTCGGTATTTGGAGACTTAAGGGGGTTTTATAATAGCAAAGTTGGTTCAAGGAATAAAAGTATACTTCTCGCTGATGACCGCATAGGTTATAGTTGATGGCTGGGTGTCTGAGTAAACGTTAAAACTTTAGATCCACTAAATCAGGACCATGCTGCTAATTCCTGTTTAATTCCTGTTTAATTCGTGTCAAATCCAGTTATACCAAGACAGGGAAATCAATAAAGCTAATTTGCTAAACTTTAAAAGTCAGTGCACTTTGGAGCTTGAGGTGGGAACTATACCTGTTGAACAGTGAAATGTCACTTTGTCTCCAGGTCGGAATGGTGGTTCACCCGTACTTGTGGCAGGTTGTGCTGTTGTTTTACCCCACCGTACTGACTTCGTTATGTCATTGCAACCCTCTGAAGTTATATCAGAATTGAGAATTTTTTAGACACAGCATATCAATAAGAAATGCAATATCTATTACCTAAAATCTTGAATTAAGCTGGGGTTCCAACGGGGATATAACATTTGCACGATTAAGCGATCTTGGTGTGACATGTCTTATTAACGCAGGGAAATAGAAACGAGGGCTGATTTAATTAACATGATCTAGGACGGAGTAGTGGAACTATTTAGTCTACATACTGACACATCTTACGAAGGATGTCGTACTCCACTGTCCGGCGGTCCTGCAGCTAGCAACAGTTCCTCCACCGTCTCCAACTGCTCGAGTGTATCCTGTCCTGCATGTTACTGTTGCCTGAAAAACAGTCCTGGTAACAACTTTATCAGCCCCTTCCCCTGTTCGGATTCTGCATTCAATATAAAAATACACAGGACGTGTCTTTCGCTTTTTTGAATATTTTCATGACTTATGTTGAATTTGATAGGTCAATAAATTAAAAGGTTCTAGGCTATCTTGAGGTGATGAACTTTGTAGAGAATCATCTTACCTTTCTTCAAATCGGTAACCTATTCCTTAAAATATTGCTCTCGTAGCAGAGCTCCATGTGCTAAATAGCAATCCTGATTTTATTTCTAATCAAGCGATAATACCTCAGGCAATCTCGAATGGGTATAAAAACAAAAAATTATGATTGCTAATTAACCGGAAGGGATCATTTGATTGGATATAATCGGGTTTTCAAGGTATCATAATTTGGTTTGGTTAAACAGTCCCTTTAAATCCACCAATAAAACCAATTTCTTAATTGGATCAACTATAAGCTGATATTTACCTGGGGACCCCAGGCTATTATGTTCATAAACGAATAGAGATTCGGCGGAATGACAGGCTGAGCGCCGCCCAGTAAAGCTGATATTTGTTTTGTCGCGTGATATCAGAAGCTGATCGATGTATAAAAGAGAGGACACGTCCTAATAGTAATAGAGATACGATCAGTATATTGACCACAGTAATTCTACAATCTCCTTACACGTTACTCTCTCCATAGCCATTCAGTCTCGTTTAACTTATCAACCAGGAGAATTGGATCGGTTATAACCATCTTTTGTGCAAATACAAACAGAATGATGTCCATAGTTTTACTAAAAGCTGAGCCCATCACCTCAAACCAACTGCATGAGATATTCTCGTATGTGACTTGATTTTGCGGCAACCGTATTACGTTTAGGAGCCGCAGCCAGCGCCACAGAGCAACGTGAATGGCTGCTACTGCGTCGTGACGATTATATCTCGATACAATTAATATAACCGCACAGTTTTAATATTATAAATAATAATTAGCTAAAAGTGTATTTTTATTGTCTCCTTGAATAACTCACTTTTTTGATGCTATTGAATGGAGGTGTAAATTCACGATAATATAAAATGTCCGCTCTATGCTGCCCCGCGGGTGTTCGAACACTAAGTTTTAGAGAAATTGCTGTCCTAGAACTCTAGAAGTTAACCTACGTTGACTGGGGAGTTGGTCCGCGAGGGGATGATGGGAGGGCTGTATCGTTCACTCGTAACCATACCTCCACCGTAACTCACAACGTGAGTTTCACTCTGTATTACTGGGCAGCCAGCTGCAAACAATATTTATTATTCATCTGGGAATGTGATTATTCCAGGTTCCATGATTTGAGAATAATAATCCTTACGCAGGATCTATAATTCATGTTGAAATTTTCACTGAGAGCATCAAGGCTTTTCGTCACATGACTCACTCAGATCCTTTCTGGATCTTTTGGGAATTGCAGGAGTTATTGCTTTATTATATTATGTTATACTTACATATTGATGAAGCTGTTTATGGTCTTTAAGTGGTGTAGATTTATTACCTGGGGACCCCAGGCTATAATGTTCATAAACATATTTTGAAGATTGAAGATGCGGCAGAATGATGCAGGCTGAGCCACCCAGCTTAACCCAGTAACATATTTGTATTCCCGTTTCTACTTATGAGAGGGTTCCAGCTGTACCGGAACATGTAACCACTCTCTCCCGTTTCTACTTATGAGAGGGAAATATTTACGTGGGAGTGTACCTAGATTCATGAGATGTGCTAATATTCTTCACAGTCAACGTACTCATTCCGATTAGTTTATATAATTATAGTAGTTATACGTACATGTTGTTGAGAGCTGAGAGGCTGATCTCGAAGGTGATCCAGATCGTATCTTATAATGATCATGCTATGTCGGTTGTTTAACATCTCTTTCAAGAGCTGAACATCTGAAATATCACATAACGACCTAATGGTTTCCTTTCGGGAGCAAATTGTCGTTTGATTAAACCACAACTCAACTACTCAACTATAACTTAGCTTTTTAAAATTAAAGACATAATGCAGGTCTCCTAAACCACGGGTTAGGTGGTCCCATGAACAAGTTGTCTGTATAGCAGGGTTGCAGGTTGAGCTGATAAACAACGTAATCCAGTTGATATTGATAATCAAAGTGTTTTCTAGAAGGCTGGCGGACCAGAAGGTGCCAAGTGATGAAGTAATCTGACCATCAATCACAGTTGGTCTGCGACTTAAAATCTTTGACTAAACTACTAGGGAGTATAAAAGTGGAGCGTTTTTATTGCCACTATTAGACGATCCATTTTTATTTTACATGAGCTGGTCGCAGGATCGCTTTCATTTGTTGCCAGTAATTGAGGAGTCAGTCAGTCAGAAGCCATAGAGATCATATCTTGACATCCAATCAGTGACGATTAATTGGTGCTGTGATCACAGCAGGAAGAGATCCTGTGAAGTGGCCCTCTCCTCTGCTTGGTGTTGCTCGAAGAACAAATCTAACAAGTGTCCCTATATCTATGCTAAATCACTCTTTCAGACACACTCTTTTCCTTGGAACTATTTCGAGCAGACTTATTTATGGTCAGTCACTGTGGCCAGCAAGGAAATGATTCCTCTCACATGTACATATCCTTTAGATTTTCGGAACCATTTTACCAGAATTCTTCAGGATCCGGAGTTACCTCGACCCTCAAACATGGTGGAAGGGTCACAATTTAAAACATTACACTTTGAATCAATTACATCTTACAATATACGTAATTTGGCCTTTAAAACCGCTGCTATTATTATATATGTGCGAAATCGGGAAAAAAAACTAGCTAAATAATGGAAAAATCAAATAAATGGAATGGAAAATTATAGTCTCGAAAAGTCGAAAAAATGCGACTAAAATTGTTGTAGACTCAACATTTGCGAAATTTTTGACTAAAATTATGGTAACCAACATTTTTGTAACCAACATATTTTGTTGTGAACCAAATTTATATGCCTTAAGGTAATAGGTCTTTCTCACGGCGATTCGCAGTTCCATAACAATCACCATAATCAGAAACTGCATGATTTGCTGTGGTTGGCGCTTATTTATCTTTAATTATCGAAAACCCCAGTATTGACCAGCTGACGGTTTGAAACTAATGAGCATCTTTAGTATCCGTTAGAATTCAGCTAATAATATCTTAGTCACCTGCACACATGTAGGTTATAGGTTCGCTTGTCAATGAGCCATCTGTCTTGTGCACCATCTCAATCCTAGGACTCCACTGATTCTTACTGGTACATCTCACTGGGACCCCTCCAGTTGAGTAGATAGCGTATGCTCCTATTCCTGGAATTAACTTAACTTCGTTCGTAAACGTCTGCAGGAATATGATAAATTAATATTCATTAAAAGTATGAAATTGAAGTAAATTATACCGAACTTTAATATACGGTAAATTTAAAATCGAGGGGTTTAGTAAGATTAATCAATCATACATATTTTGATAATGTGATTGGGTATCTTCTTTGGAAACGGTTTAATATAGAGCGTATCCCATTTTCAATATTTCAATAAACATATTCATAAAATTGAACGCGATGACTTTAAAGCGACTATATATAGTATATAGTGTTTATTAGCACTTGCCACCGCGTTCATAGTTATACTACCGCGTTTATAGAATTATACTATAAAAACGATGGTACTGCGTTACAGAATCAGTTGCCCACCTCGAAGTTATGAGCACACTTTAAAGTGAGAGTTTGTCCGGACACGTCTGTACCAGTCAGGTCCTCTATCTCCTTAGTGCCGTTGTAGAACGTTACTCCGTGCTTTTTCTTGGTAAATGAGGTGTAGCAGCTGGATTCATAGACGGGTATGATGAGGTAGATGAGAACTGGGAAGATAAAGATCTTCTTTGCTGGTTTTTTACATGATGTCATAACTGAGATATTATTTGGGGGTTTAATTTGTAAATGAGAGTCCAGCCTATTTTATTACTTTCATTTGCTATTAGTATGAACCAATTGCAATCAAGTATTTTCACACCGATTGTTATTAAGAGACCCATATTTGAAAGTTTACAAGATTAAACTTAGATATTTTAGTTTGGACAATTGTTCAAGCTAAAATTTCGAAAGAAAGCTGTGGTTAATTTGTTATCGATTTTCATTTATTAAATATACCATTGTATAACTTGAAACTCTTTATTTTACACAGTAAAATCCCTATTTACCGTACACTGATACATTATGAGGGCACCTATAAAATGTGAGTTTCCAAGAATTACCAAACGTACGCTCAATTCTTTAACTCCATAACGAATGTAGCACGGTTATAATAGTCTGTACGAATTCTCATAGCAGCACATGTTATACTTGTTGGCTTGTTGCCAAGAGTCTAATAGTTCACTGAGTCCAGGAACTACCTCTCCCGTATATCAAGCTCTGCCAACTGCTTGATCCACGAGCTGTGATCACTGACCGACCATTCCTTAATGTTGATGTAGTATGCTCATTGATCATGGTTTATGAGAAAGGAGGATGGTGAGAGACTCAAGGTTTCACGCACTCGGGCGAGTTCTCGTTCCATTTCAACAGTCCAGTACAGGTAAGAGTAGAGTAACCAACTAACACGTGACCTGGTTCACACCTGGTAACCAAGGTGAATATTCATTTTATCTGTCAAAAACACTCTTAAGAGCATTCCAAGTGCAGGTGTGGCTGGAAAATACAGATCTTCAAGTTATAAAACTGTTATATTGGCAAAAAATAACAACGGATGGTAATATAGCTCACGAGAAAGTGACAGTGTCTCCCGGTTTGAAGGGAGCCTGATTGGGAGTGCTGTTGGGGACGTCTGTAGTTACTCCACCACTTACAGACCTTGTTATGTCAGGACAGCCTCCTGCGCGGAAATTAACGATGATATCCTATAGATAACAGACAGAGAGTCGCAAAACATCAACAGATTTTGGTTCAAATGAGGTTTGTCAAGGACAATGGACATGGTGTTAAAACACTTTTTGTCGCATTTTAGAACACTTTTTGTCGCATTTTATAATATTTGAATCGGACTTTTTTGATCAATTAAATTATATAAATATTCATATTAATTATTTTTCAAAATTGGAATTAGAACTCGACGCACGGTAAACGCACAGTCACTTAACGCACGGTAAACGCACGGTAAACGCACGGTAAACGCACAACCACTTAACGCACGGTAAACGCACGGTAAACGCACAACCACTTAACGCACGGTAAACGCACGGTAAACGCACAACCACTTAACGCACGGTAAACGCACAACCACTTAACGCACGGTAAACGCACAGTCACTTAACTATTTACTTACTTAACATACGTAACGGTATACTCACGTGTAAATGACGCATGGTTGACGAACTGTCTTAGTGAATGAATCTTGACCAACAGAAACTAAATTTCATTTAGCTCAATATTGACTGCTACTTTATAATCAATTTCTGCAGCTCTGGACCAAGTTTATTAATAATTAAGTTCACAGACACATGTCAGGACAGACAACATAACGTTGGCAGGTATTCGCCTATTTAAAGGCAGTAAGATCAGTATATTAAAGTCATTATTGTAACGGTATATTAGAACCAGACAGAAAAAAGTGTGAAGGGCCTGAGCGGAACCCATCGGTTTCAGTTCCTTGTTTAACACTGCCGTACAGCAAGGACATTCACCGAGTTCTCCACAAGATGCTCTGTCAAATGTTGCTTATATATACCGAGAATCTACAGGAAATATTTCCTTGTAGGTTTAGAGGGTGATCTGTGAACAGATAATTACATCATTCAAAACTTAAAGGAATTAGAATTCCTATACTATCCCAAGTCCCAACGAGCTACACCAAGCATAGCTTTAGACGAGAACAGCCGCGATAAATCAGCAGGCTAGCGCTCTTGGTTATATATTAAAGTCATTATTGTAACGGTATGTCAGTATGTGACTCAATCTATAAAGGAACCTGATGTTTGGGGCATCCTCCATAGCTTTGAGATTAAAAGCTTATAAAAGCTTTTAACTTCTAAATAAAACTTTTAGTTTCCGTTTTTAGCTTTAAAAATAGTAATTCCAAATTCATGGGGCAGATAAATGCACTAATAGTAATCGACAATTTTAATAGGCATGCACTCTTTGGATGGCCTTTCTCCGTCTGTTTTACATATGTCGTACTATATTTTGCTATCTAGACTAACTTATTTGTACATGATGAGTGATCAAGACTTACTGTGTGGACATTGGAAAATGGAATCGTTACTTACTGACACAGTTAATGAAGTCTTCCTTTTTAGGGGACCAGTTCACTTCTTCGGTACTTTTCTTACACTGCGACTTACTGCTGCCAACGTTGCCCGTAGCGATCGTATATCCAGGCTGGGGAAATTCGTTGTGACATATTTTACACATTTTACACATTTTACACATTTTACACATTTTACACATTTTACACATTTTACACATTTTACACATTTTACACATTTTACACATTTTACACATTTTACACATTTTACACATTTTACACATTTTACACATTTTACACATTTTACACATTTTACACATTTTACACATTTTACACATTTTACACATTTTACACATTTTACACATTTTACACATTTTACACATTTTACACATTTTACACATTTTACACATTTTACACATTTTACACATTTTACACATTTTACACATTTTACACATTTTACACATTTTACACATTTTACACATTTAAGATAACTAGCAGGAACCCGTATAACCCTAAAATGGTGTCAAGACTCAAGAGACTAAAATAATTATTATCTATTTAATTCGCGTTTTTGACACCACTGGGGGGTCCAAATTTGGGGCTGTAAAACTTCTATTTCTTGGCCAATTTTTTATTTTTTCATGCTGATTTGGAGGCCATTAAAGCATTTGGCCCAGTCAAAAAAGTTTCAGTTGTATATCTTTTACGGTTTTTGGGGAAAGTAGCGTTAAAGTTGATGCCGTGGTGTCAGTAAAATGGCACGGATAAACATATATCGTCTCGCTTTATATATAGTAAGATTACAAAAGAATAATGATGGTGAGGAACTAAGAGTACCTGGCAAGAAAAGGAAATGAAAGAATCTTTAAGGTATGTGATAGGAGGACTACTGTCCTCAGATGTTACTATAGCTGCAGGATAGGATACTTTGTACTTGTCCTCTCTTACTGGAGGACAACCCTCTGAAATTGTGGCGACTGATTTAATTACCTTAAACAACAGTATTATTTGTTTCTTCTTTGAAATAAACCAGATTTTCCGGCTGCCATGAAACCTGTGGTGTCAGAATCAGATATATGCCAAACACAGTGCGAGAGCTGCAGCATGATTACTGTTGTTCATGTTAATTTATCAGACTTGTCACATTTGGGAACCTTAATTACCTCTTCCTCTCAAATGGTGACTTCTTCATTCGTGAATTTTGTAATAAACTATTAACGAACTGTCGACAAATTAATGAATTCCTGAATGTTCCCCTTTGTAGGATCGCAGTTGTTTATAATTAACTTCCATATATGGGCATTGACATACCATCACAAAACAGATACCGATCGTATCCCAAAACGGTCTTGGAGATGTCAGGCTTCATGTTGTTTCCCACTTCACAACTTATCTTGAGACCTTCATCATGGTCCAGGCTAAAGGTGTTGACCCCGTCTACTTTTCTTATTCCGTTGACAAATTGCTGAAAACATGTAAAGTGCTATTATTATTTTGATCCCAAAATAAGAAGACACACCTGAGCTTTGTTTCAACTTCATCACAACTTTTTAATACTATGACAGGTTATACCACAAACTTATAATAAATAATACGCCAAGTTTTAAAACCAACAAACACAATAAACAAATATAAACTTACGTATCCTTCTACACACTTGACAGTGATATACTCTCCAACTCCAAACCTTACCGTCAAGTTATTGTCCTCATTCGTTAAGTCTAAATCGTGAAAATAGGACACACCTTTCTGGACTATTACTTGAAAGTTGTAGGTGAAAGTACAGTCTGCTCTAGAGGTCGGCATCAAGGCCCAAATAACGGTTACTGAAATCAGGGATATGGTAATTTGAAGTTTGGAAACTCGAGGTATTGCAATTTTAGGCATTTTGAGTGATGGAGTATACTTTCCCCGCATGTTTTGTTAGTTAGTTATACGTGTCAATTAAGTACTGCATTACCCTGCTGGCGACAAATTGATTTAATCCAGCTTTATCCTTGATTAATTTATAAAAGAAGAAAGGAAATGTCCTTACATGAAAGAAAGTTGATTGAAGATCCTTGTGTTGTCCTCTGAAGAAAATCCATAGCTGTGGTGTACAAAATGCTCATTAATATATATTTTTCTTTCATTTTTTCTTTGTAATTTTGTCTCTCATTTAATATTGAGGTTAATAAACATGGACTGTTTTAGATCTCACAGTCGGTGAAATTTAATTTACAAGGGGTCGCAAGGTCTAGTACAATATATATTATATATGTATATGCATTATGCAATGTACTAGACCATGTGTGTATATGCAGTGTATAATGTATATGCAGTGTATATGCAATGGAATATCTTTCTCATCACATGGTATCGTTACATTACCGGCTTAGCAATTAAGATGTTAAAAAATACTCAAAATTATGCTTAAAGTATCATATAGTAGAAATATTAGAAATACTAAAATATAGATCAGCAGATATTTCATTGGAATAATAATTTAAAGTCTATCAAACATGAACCACGTTTTTCAGTAGGTTAAATATGCAGTTATATTTTATTTTAATTTAACACGCTCATATAAATCGAAATGTAGATGTTGTTAAAGTTGTAAATAAGGCCACCATAATAACGTTTTCTCTTGAGATTTCACACAAATCACAATCTCTGTTCCAATTTGTTTTGCGAGTAGTCTCCAAAAATGCCGAACTTGGAGCACCACTCATGCCGTTAACGTTTAATCGTAATTTTTACATCCGTTCAGCTCATGATTCTCCTTATTCCTCAATTTACTCGAAATTATAAATTAACATGATTTTCGGCTAGTTAAAATGTCACCTGCAGTGCACATCTAGGCACCTACAAGTGCATTTCTATCTATCTAGACAGCTGCAATGTATACACATTCCGGTGTATTCTCGTTCCAAATGTTAGCACCGGTGCAAGTTAGGTTCTTGTAACCAACCAGGGTGTATCCAGGATCGCAGCTGAAAATGAATTATTATAGTTGCTTATCATTCCTTATTTATAGTTTCTTACCTTTCTTCTTCTTCTGCTTCTAAAAAATGTTTCTTGTCACTTCTTATTATATTTTCTTATCATTTATTATTACTAAAACTAGCATGAACACTTTTATCCCCAAAGCGGTGCCAAGAGACAATAATATTTACTTATTTTACGATTTTAATACCACTTAAGGGTCCAAATTTCGGAATCCAAAGCTCTTATTCATTGGCAAATTTTTTATTACGTCATACTGGTCAAAACTCAAAAGGCAATAAAAGCATTCGACCTATCCAAACAAGTTTCAATGGTATATCTTTGTCATTTTCCCTCGATTCAATCTTCCCTCATTTGATCATTACCGTAGTTCTGAGCGGCACACAATTACCTTAGACTACTACCCTACGATAACCCTTTCTATGCATCTTTATTAGTGACATGACTTGCCTCCCTACAAAGATTAAGGTCCACTATCGCTGCGTCAATGTATCCAGGATCCTCCCTGACTAGTTTACCGTACTCTCAAAAGGTTTCCCACTATCCAAACATAATTTCCTCTAATAAATCTTTTTGCCTCACTGACTCTCATCATCTAACTCACAGATCCGGGTTATATATCTCTTCTAACTGAAGTCAACAAATAATAAATCACACCGTTTACATATAGTCTGGAAATATAGTGGACAGGAATTTTAAATGAAAGTTTATAATTAGTTTTCAAATGTTAACTTACAAGAAGGTTACGGAGTCCCCAGGTCTAAAGGGAGGGGCTCCTTTGGTAGTGCTGGGCTTATCAGTTGTAGCACCATTTGAAACCGCTTGTGTTATGTCTTTACAACCGCCTGAGAGGTTTTAGACGGTTTTAAAAACGGTTTTGATTTTCCGAAATAATAATAATGTTATAATGTGATTCATGGTCAATGGTCCAAAATTCTGTCAAACCGCGAAATTTCGATCAAGGAAACGGCAGAAAATCTTTTCTTCAAAAATATCTTTTTATATTCTGATGATTTTCCGTTTATTAAAGCTTTCTTTGGAAGTAGAACTTTGAGTAAATCAATCGTGTCTTGTGCCATCCTCAGTGACCTTGTAAGATGGTTATTCAAGAAAAATTCAGCGAAATTTGGGTCGCTGAAAGCTGAAATTCGAATTTATCCTACCGGTAGGACATATTCAAAATATTCATCGCATTAAAGTTTTCTCCGGATATACTGCTAATTTCAGTACCTTGATAGCGATTTTGTGTTTATCAAAGCTTTCTTTGGGAATGAAACGTCAGTCGTGTCTTGTGCAATCCTCAGTGACCTTGTAAGATGAACGAGATCCGAGCCGGGATATGCCCTCCTCAAGCATCTGAAGACACAATGTTCAAATGCTTTAATGGCCTTCAAATCAGCATGAAAAAATAAAAAATTGGTCGAGGAATAATAATTATAGTGCCCAAAATTTGGACCCCCATATTATGGTGTCAAAAACGCGAATTAAATAGGTAATAATTATTTTAGTCTCTTGAGTTTTTTGGGTGAGACGGGTTTCTGGCCAGGAGTATCTGCTTTATACTCGGACGATGAGCCCTCGGTCCCCACAAAATCTTTAGAATTATAGTTAAGACTAGTAGTACAATTTGTGAAAGGAACTCATGGTCAGTCTATAAAACACATGAAAAGCAGTGTGCTCCATACCCCTTAGTCTCTAGCTTTGTTATCAAAACACGTGATTCGATCACGTGATGTTATCTCATTGTCAACAGGGTTTATTTGTTTGATTACGTGTCGTATTGTAATGTATTAACACAAGTTAACTAATAATATTATGTATATGAGTACAGATTCGAAGTGGAACATCGAGTTTCGTTTTGGCGAGGTCTGGCGAGCTGGGAGCAACTTTCGAGATCGTCTGGAAGGGCTGATCTAAAAGCAAGCTCTGATCAGTATTTGATCTTACTTGACTAACAGGCTAGTTAACGAATATATGACATCTAACTTTGCTCTGCAAATACATTATCTTTCGCCGCGATTTTCGAAATTTTCGCCGCGATTTTGCCTAATTTGGCATGTCACGCGGCACCGTGATTTTTGGCCTAAATAATCGCGATTTTCTTTTGTCCTTGGTTTCTGCTAGTGTAGTATAATTGCCCATGAGGTTTGATCGCATTTCCTCGCTGACAGGCTTAACACGTTAACAGTTTGGTAAATCCCACTTCATTACTGGTAAAACATGAACAAAATTAAATGTGAGTTGACATTTTACGCTTTCATGCTCTTATAAGTGGTTTGGGTGTGGTGACCATGGGGATCTCAGTGTACGATTGATGTAGACCACAAGGACAGAGGAATTATTTTGGTGCCCAATCTTGCAACATGAACAGGTTTTTCTCACGGGGTACTGTGATCATTCCACGCCCAATCTCTGTTTGACAAAGTAAGCTGTATAACTATAAGCTGTATTACGTTATTGTAAACTTCAATCACTAGGTAGTACAATTGCGCAGACTTGACCAGCTAGCTGACATGATATTTTGCTCGTCTTGTAAATGTACGCGCGGAAGCGTACATATCACATAAGTATAACATAAGTATGTAACATAAGTATAACATAAGGGTATTATATGGAACTAGCGACAAAGATATTAAGGTGTTACTTACTAATACAGTCGATGATGTTGTCAGTAGACCATGCCACTGCCCTGGTGTCACTGTCTTTCTTGCACAACACTGAGATCTTTCCAACGTTACCAACTGATCTTGTATACCCTGCGAGGATGTTGCTCGTAGGTATTTTCTCTGTTATATTCTCTACGCTTTAAATCCACCTCTATCAATATTAACCTTTCTCTTTTTATAATTTTATCTCTCCCACCTCAAAGAGGTAAAAATCCCTTTCACCCTGGAATGGACCACCTGCTAGTTCCGCTTTAGAACTTCAAAAGTTTATACCATAAAATGCTTAACATAAAATCAACGCAACAGACCGCTGAAGTATTGAATATCAACCTTATGAGGCTAAACTGGCTTCAAAGTTTAACCGTAAAGACGGCGCCTGGTATTTATTAATAGTTATTGACAAATATTACGAACCTGGTTGGCAAGCGAGAGACACGCTCATGAAGTTATTGGAGATAAGTGGCGGACTATTTTCCTCGCTGGTGACTATTGAAGCAGGGTACACCACTTCGTACCTGTCCTCTCTGTATGGTGTGCATCCCTCTGAAAAAAGGACCGGTCGGTATTGCCAGTGATTTTACTTTTAGGTTTAATCATATCAGTGCTTTGTTTGACTCTCCCAAATGGATACAATTACGTTTAGATCAGTATAACTAGTTCAAGATTTAGGTCTTAGTCTCGACTCTTATATTCGCTGATTAACAATTTTCAGTAACCGATAAGAGTTGATATGCATATGATAATGATAATATAATATGTTTACGCATGATTTTTACTGGGTATAAACCGAGGGTTCAACTTGGTTTGTTAACCGTAACTCACCGTCGCAGTACAAGACTCTTTCATCCCCATTGAGATCCTCAAATATATTAGGGTGCAAGGCCCCAGTCTCCTCGTTGCAAGTCACCGTGATTCCCAATCCTTGGTCCATTGCAAATACGTTTAAACCTGTTGTTCGTCTTACACCATTTACAAATTGCTGCGAGCATATTATTGTTATATATAATTATATGCTACGTTACCAATCTGTATACCGACGTGATTCTTAATATTACTATAATTAGCTTTGCTGTAGTAACCGAAAACTTGACCCAACCAGCTCACAAGCAGTTAACAAGGTCAAGGAAAGCATTAACTTGCCACTTGCCAGTCAGCTCTCGGCTGTAATTTGCATCGGCCAATATCCAATTATGCGATATCAGCAGTCTTATCTAATTTTATATTTTGTGGGCCAAAAGAGACTCTTCCACGTCTTTAAATGTATTGCAAGTTAATACAAAGCTCAGTATGGTCCTTAGGACGGGCCTCGCGTGTTGGTATAAATATTCAACATAATTTGGTGCATATAATGCAGTAATATATAACGGGGTGTGGATCTAACAAAGCAGATGTTAGTCTAAAACTAGTCTTGACAGTGATGGAACTCCGTTTACTTAAGGCAAACATTATAAAAATAGAAGTCAACTTACAAAGCCTTTGACTTGACATTTGATGACTGAAATCAATTCGTTTTCTTCATTTTCTGTAATATTTAGTTGGCCGGACCCGTAGGTGGTCGTCTTCTTCTCGTTACAATCTTGCATTCCGATCACAGGTATTGAACAAAGCCAAAGTATAGTCGTGACAACTGCAATGCAATATCACACAATTTTATTTTAAATGTTTGTTTTTTACAGACGTATTTATATGTAAATTGGAGCGTAACCTGATCAGATTATTGCCGTATCATATACGGCAGCGAAAATATTGCAGTGACAAATTCGTACGTATTTGTTTATTCTGTGCTAAGTGCTTACCAAAAATTGACCTCGACAATAATCCAGAATAGTTAATACTGGACATAAAGACGTATTATCACACAAACTGATACTGACGATAACTACAACAGAAAGGATATTGCAAGTTGGATGTTGTCTAAAAATACAAGTGTGCAATTGTACTAAAGGAAATGACTGGACCCTAAAGTGAGGTATACCCAAATATTTAACTAGACACGATTATTATCCGTATACTTCACAGATAAATTGCTGTCTTATGATTCCATACATACTGATTACTGATACCCAAATTTAGAAGTTAAATGTAAGCGTTTCTGTACCGAAGGGCAAATCTTTGGACGGAATTTCTCTTCAGTTATCAATCAGTTAATTATGAATGACATGAGATCCAATACTGAAAGTTAGATAAGGGCCGGAGAAAGCACCACAAAAGCAGGCACGTAGCCAGGAGGTGGGGGGGGGGCCCGGGAAAATTGAACCCCAGAAAAAAAATAGAACCCCAGAAAAAAAATAAGCCCCCTAGTCCCCATGGTCGCCTGGTAACTGGGCTGTGTTTATGACTGCAGTCTGTACTGTTAAAACGGCAGGCAATTGCAGACTTCAGCATTTGACATTTCGTAAATTATTCCCAAATCCCATTATATTTATACATGTACTTATTCCATTCAATGTGGCAAGTACTGACTACTGAGTTCGGTAGGGACTGGTAAGACATTTTGGCATTTTCTTAGAGCTTAATTTCCAGCGAAAAATTAAAGAGCAGTAGTGCCACAGGGCCTAGATCGACCGTAAGAAATGTCAAAATCTTAAGACGATGAGGCCTGAGTAAGTCGTAAAACTAAATTCTGATTGGAGAATGCAGATTGCTGTTGTTCAGTTACCAAATTTACGTGAGTACTTGATTCTTTTCAGTATTAGTTTATTTCTGTCCTCCAAATTTCTTTAATGCCAAATGTCGTCTAATACACCTTATTTCTCAAACATTTTCCGGGGGCTGCGCCCGCCGCCCCCCTAACCCCCCGCACAGGGGCTCCGCCTCTTGACCCCGCTGGGAGCTGCGCGCCGAGTTGGACTCGTCGACGGAACAAATATTTTACGAGTATCACCCGTTAAGACCCCTGAGCTGCCGGCTGCCGCAGCTTGCTCGCTTCGCTCGCTACGCAGCTGAGTTAATCGCGTCGGCTCGCTTCGCTCGCCGAGGCCCCCCCAAAGAAAAATTCTGGCTACGTGCCTGCACAAAAGGGAAAATCATATTTATATTTGTCCAATTATAGTCCTATTTTCAGGGATTGGGATGAAATTTCCTGAACCGAAATTTCATAGTTTTGACTGAATTTTGTCCAGTAACAGACTAGTCAGTTAGCTATGATATACTTATATTTATAGATGACATATGACACAATTGAGGTGCCGGAAGTCTGATCATTCCAGTCGGAGGAAGCGGCTACCGGACAACTGAACCCAATTTGGACTTTTCCTAGACAGGGTAGCTTGGGAAAATAATTATAAACCCAATCAGACTACCTAATTAACTTTGAAACGACAACTGAACCCAATCGTCACTAGAAATCACTAACAGTTTAACAGGTTTCCAAATACCGTTCTAGTTTAGCTGCTGCATGGTTTCTAGTGCTATAATTTCGGAGACAAAACAGAGACAATATTTCATTATGTTAATTTGAAAAGGTAATTCCTTCCACCATGTTACTGGTCCGGGGATATTCAGGATCCACCATAATGGTGCAGAAGTGGTTCCAAAACTCAGTCGGATACTTGGGGGTCAGGGACAAAAGGATTTCGCGATTATTTTGGTCAAAAATCGCGGTACCGCGAAATTTAACAGGCTATACATTAAACTATACATAAAATTTGTCACGGAGAATGGGAAATTTCGCGATTTCGTACATGCCGCGAAATCCTTTTGTCTCTGTTGGGGGTGGATCTAGGACCAGTCAAGTTAGCCAAACCAAGATAACTACGTTCAAAGTATAGTGTACCACATCCATGAGCAAAGGATAAGTACTGGCAATGCGAATGGACAGAGCCTCAAACGCGTCATCAATAATGGACAATGGCACGAATGCCAGAAATGCCACAAGCCTAGAGGCTCGAGCAAATTCCTTGTCACTGCGGTATTGGACCTTCTGAACACTCTGACAAAGGTGAAAGAAGCAGTTCATCAAGTTGAACTTTTCTAACACCTTCGAAAAAGCGTTCATTGCTGCCTTCTCGAAATTAATCATTATGATACCATCATCAATATTACAAACAGCACTCTTTATAATATTCAACAAAAATATATACGTCTTCTCCGTCTTGTCAGAAAGTAGAGCGAACACCAAAGGGATGCACTTCTTGTCGATGACAGCGTGGATGGAGTAACTCTGTTGGAAAATCCTAGGGCAGACATAGACTGTGACCACCATCTCTCTTCCTATTGTATTGATCCGAACTGTATAACAAGCGTACTAATAGATGACAAGGTCTCAGGTGCCTTTCGATCGCGAGATCTGATCTAACAAGCTTACGTGTTCACGAAGCGTGCCGAAAAGGATACGATCCACTGCTCCTCAAGCATCGAGATCCGACCCAGGGCTCGAGATCTGAACCATGGCAGGCCCTCCCAAAGCATCAGGAGTCACGACATCTGAGTCAAGTAACCTGAGCCAAGTATCCAGCGTGCTAATGGTGCGTTCCATCAGCTTTGGACGACATGAAACAGTGGAACTATAAGAACGCCCATCAAGGCTAACTTTCAAAGCTAGACGGACACGTTGTCAGAATGCCAGAGACACAGTTTCCCAATTTTTACTGGATTAGAAACCAAACTATGGGAAGAGACTGAGAGGACGACTCCGTAAAGGCTGGATGGCCTGTGTTCTCGAGGATGCGGCTGACAGGTGTCGATAACATCAGCAGAGACGCAGTAAAACAGTTAGAAGAGATGTTTGTGATGCAGGCCACTCCAAAGACTAGGAGGAGACCTCTTCAATCTTCATGTAGCATGAAGGGTAAGCACAGGGCTCCAATGCTCTAAATTACAGTGGTCATGATCTATCCTATAGTGATAATGACCACTGCACAGTCCCCTGCGAAGAAGGAGAACCTGAAAATCCGATCGTTGGGTTCAGTTGTCGTATTTCCTTGGGTTCAGTTGTCGTATTTCCAATTTGGGTGCAGTTGGGATATGACCTGGGTTCAGTTGTCGTTTTGGGATTTAAGCTGATTGGTCACCCAATTAAGCTGGTTGGGTGCCTGTTAACTGCGTGGGAACTAGGTTCAATTGGGTTCAGTTGTCTGCCACCCGAGGATGCATACAACAGCTACAACTTTACAAAATGAAAATTCATATTCTTCCATTTCTGTCCCATTTTCAAGTAATGGAATTTTTGCCGAGTGACCAATTAGTCAGTTAAATATAAATGGTTATGATACAATTGAGTTTTTTGAAATCTTATTCCAGTCGGAGGAAACTAAGTACAACACTACAAATCTATTAGTATTACATTTATTGAGCCATGTAACGTAATTCAAATTGTAACTTTTCGTCCTTACCTGGGGACCTCAGGCTATCATGTTCATAAACATAAAGATTAGGCTGAATGACAGGCTGAGCGCGGCCCAGTAAGTCTCGTCCATGACAAAGGCGTGGGCCGAAACGTCGATAACTATTTGTTTGAAAAACTGAGTGGAGACTCTCACTTTATTCCAAAACATCAATTATATGATCGACCCACTCAAAAGAGCGAAAACAGATTGTTATAAATGGTATATGTTAAAATGAGTATTATGTAATCCGCTATCGTGTCCACTGCCGTAGTGTTTACTGCTGCGGTAGTCGTGCCCGGTGAATAATGAATAAATATAATTTGCGGACTCTATAAATTTTTGTAAATCGTGGTCATTGAATTTGAGGGCTAACATTTTTAATACATCCGAGCTAATCATGGTGAAATGAAACAAATCGATAGTCACAAATTTTTTTAAAGACCTATTTCATCAGTTAAAGTTTCGCTAAAAAGAGATTTACACTATTTTAAAAGAAATTTACACCATTTTAAAAGAAAAATTCTTACATTTGATAGTAAAAAGGAGGTCAATCAATATAATAAAAATCAAACACCATGCTTGAAGTAGGTACCCTGTACTGAGGGCTCATCTTGTTTGTTTAAAAGCATGAATCAGGGATTTAAAATTACCAAGGGAAATACAACACAATTTACAAATGTCATTATAAGACAAGGTGAGTGATCACAAAAAACCCGTAAAATGTCCTCTTTGGACTTTATATTGTCATTCACTATAATAATCATCTGATTCAGATTACATTTAACCTTGTCAACAGAGGACTTCCCAACTTGAGGCAGCCTAAGTTAGAGTGGAATCTTTACTAACCCAATTTTAAGATGAATGAACAGCCTTAGAATCAGCCCCCGTTTTAGCAACATCTCCATTTGTTGAAGAATCTTTAGAAGCATCTGCAGTTTGAGAAGCATCTGCAGTTTGAGAAGCATCTGCAGTTTGAGAAGCATCTGCAGTTTGAGAAGCATCTGCAGTTTTAGAAGCATCTGCAGTTTTAGAAGCATCTGCAGTTTTAGAAGCATCTGCAGTTTTAGAAGCATCTGCAGTTTTAGAAGCATCTGCAGTTTTAGAAGCATCTGCAGTTTTAGAAGCATCTGCAGTTTTAGAAGCATCTGCAGTTTTAGAAGCATCTGCAGTTTTAGAAGCATCTGCAGTTTTAGAAGCATCTGCAGTTTTAGAAGCATCTGCAGTTTTAGAAGCATCTGCAGTTTTAGAAGCATCTGCAGTTTTAGAAGCATCTGCAGTTTTAGAAGCATCTGCAGTTTTAGAAGCATCTGCAGTTTTAGAAGCATCTGCAGTTTTAGAAGCATCTGCAGTTTTAGAAGCATCTGCAGTTTTAGAAGCATCTGCAGTTTTAGAAGCATCTGCAGTTTTAGAAGCATCTGCAGTTTTAGAAGCATCTGCAGTTTTATTGGCAGTATCATCAGATTTAACCTCTTTATCTGCAGACGAACCTTTTGAGACATCAAAGTTAACGATTTTGTTAGAATCTTTGTCATCTGATTCATCTTTGTCTGTTTGCTTTTCAACTGTTTTATCAGCTTCGGTATTCTCGCTCTTATCGGTTGAATTTCCTTCAACGGCCTTTGTTTCAGATGCTTTATCGGCCGTATTGTCCAGGACTACAACAGGTTCTTCCTTCAGCAACTCAGTTTCAACCTTCTGAAAATGTGAGAACTTGTCAACTTGTGTTAAATTCAAATAATTTGCTAAATTAAAACTTCATTTGCACATCGAAAAAGTTTTAAGATTTGGTTGTCGTGAGCTTTATCTTATTACAATCGAATGGTGATTTCTAGAATTAATGATACATCCAATTCCACCAAAGACAGGTGCATATATTAAAAAATAATTATGAACCGAAGAGAAACTAAAGTTTTATTTTCTTTCGACAAGTTTGTTTTAAAAGTTGATCAGATCATCAAAGAAACTTAGTTGTACCTTATGATCGGCGGGTTGGGGAGGAGGTTTTGTTGGAAACAGTTTGTTGACATCGAATGCTGGATTCTTCTTCAGTTCATCTTCGCTCACGGATACAACTTCACTGTTTTTACCAGCATCTTTCGTTTCCTCGCCGTCACTTGATTTCTCTGCATCATCACTAGATTTGTCTTCATCAGAATTTTTGTCGCCAGCACCTGATTTTGCAGCATCATCAGTTTTGACAACACCACTAGTTTTTGCTGCACCATCAGTTTTTTCACCACCACTAGGTTTTGCTGCACCATCAGATTTGTCACCACCACTCGATTTTGCTGCATCATCAGATTTGTCACCACCACTCGATTTTGCTGCATCATCAAATTTGTCACCACCACTCGATTTTGCTGCGTCATCAGTTTTGTCACTGCCACTAGATTTTGCTGCACCATCAGTTTTGACACTGTCAGATTTCGTTGCACCATCAGTTTTTACACTATCAGATTTTGCTGCACCATCAGTTTTGACACTATCAGATTTTGCAGCATCATCAGTTTTTTCACCGCCACCAGATTCTGCTGCACCATCAGTTTTGACACTATCAGATTCTGCTGCACCATCAGTTTTGACACTATCAGATTCTGCTGCACCATCAGTTTTGACACTATCAGATTTTGCTGCATCATCAGTTTTGTCACCGCCACTAGATTTTGCTGCATCATCAGTTTTGACACTATCAGATTTTGCTACACTATCAGTTTTGTCACCATCCGATTTCGCTGCACCATCAGTTTTGTCACTATCAGATTTTGCTGCACCATCAGTTTTGACCACCGTCATCTCTTGAAGGTTCGTCTTGTTGACAACCACACTGGGATGAGGTTTATCATCTTCAGGTTCTGTGTCGGGTTCTGGTTTAGCAGAATCTGAGCCCTTTTCATTTTCCTGCGACTTCACTTCCTTTTTTGAATCAGCGCCGTCTTTAGACTCGGTGTCCGTTTTAAGTTGTTTCTCATCACCAGAACCAGCATTAGCCTCTTTGTTGTTATTGTCACCATTTGGTGTGGAAGGTTTTTGGGCCGTATCTTTCGCGACATCCGCCTTACTCTGGTCGACAACGGCAGCTTTCTGATTTTCGGGGACAGCAGGTTTCACAACTGCAGGCACCGGTTCACCAGCCTGATTTCCATCGACAGCTTTAACATTTGCCGACTGGGTGCGTGGGACCCTCTTGTGAGGAGCAGCAGCTACTAAACAAAACGTGCACAACAATATAATCCGTAGTAGCCCCCCGGACAAATCATTTCTTTTGTTCCCCCTTGATAGACGCATTAACTTCTTCTTACCATCCCGCCTCAAAACCGCGGTAGCGGACTTGGGCACTGAGCACCACAAACTGACAAAGTTTCCACCGACACTGAGCTGAACTCTCCGAACTACAAATATCACGCACTAGAGAGCACTACACTTATACTTATCAGAGAAAAGAAGGTGCTATAAGGGCCGCGGGCGAAGAGGAGTGCAAATATATTACAGAAGGTTATAACGTAACAGTATTAAGATAATGTGTACAACAGGTGTGTGCAGCTATGATTGAGAGTTGTTTAACAACAATGAGAGAGAGGGAGGGTGAGCCTCTAAATATGGAATAATTGTCAACATCGTCTCGCTGCCGCGAGAACAATTGCAAAGATTTAGATCAGTAGTCTACCAAATTTGTAGCATAATTATTATAAAACTCATGGGGCCGGTGTTGAAACAAAAGATTTATTCAAAGTTCGCACAGTAAATGCTTTAGTTTTACGGATGATACAGGTAACCGTAAATATTTGTTACAAATATTTGCCCCGGTACAGTAGGCAGTGGCGTAACGTTGCCTGTTGGCGCCCCCCTGCCGAAAAAAGCGCCCCCCTGTTGGCGTCCCCTCCCCTTTTGGTGCCCCTCCCTAAAATTGGACAAATTAGGTGATTTTAGAGAATACGCCGGTAAAATCTCTAAAAAAGTGTGTATCTAGAGCAAAACGCGCAGTTTTGCTAGTACTTTAGTTAAGTTTTCGAAATTTTCCCACATTCAAACGACGATTTGGCGCCCCCCTAAGACGGCGCCCCCCTGCACAGCGGGGTCAGCAGGGCCTTTCGTTACACCACTGACAGTAGGTACAAGATACCGCTTTGCGCGCGGGTCAGTAGGTTGTATATAAAGTAGCTAAGCCTACGAAGTGGGGGCGGTATATAATACAGCGTTATATTTATAATTATATAGTAGGGCAAGTCGGCACTGTAATGTAAATCATGATTGGGAGATTGCGCGGCGTGCCATGACACGTACGTATGATTTCGAAGATTTCGCAATATTTTTTATCGTCATCAGCTGTTGTAAATGTAAATTCAGGGAATTGAAGAATGAAAAGTTTTCATTGAAAACACGCGTACACACTGAACTACTAAAGCTGAGATGCTAACTTATTATTATTAACATGGAACCACTGCAGTGATCATGACTGGATTATGGAGGCCCATGGTGGGGGGGGGGGGGGAGGGGCCGAGGGGGGGAGTGTATGTAGCTTGTTTGATTCGGAATCAGCGTCCAAAAACACATTGAATGAAGATGTTTTCATACCCTTAGGCCTTAGCTTATAAGGGCCTTTTACGAATATAACTTTTTTTCAAATGTGGGTGAGAAATTTACTTTTAGCGGGAGCTCATGCAGGCACCTTCATATTGAGTAGCGAAAAGACCTGCTGCTGAGTACTTTGACTATATTAAGAGCTTCTTTGCTTTAAGTTCTGGTAGTGGTATCCACTCGATCCGAGGCGCTATGAGTATGACCTAGTCCATTTGTTTTGTTCTAGTCTTGTGCGGTGAGCAAAATATAGATGACTTGATTTCCTTGTCACTTATGGCATAATTACTATGAATATGATGGTAGATAATATCTTAATATAGTTCAAGTTATTTGACCAAAACCCATAATCATGGGTTTCATTCTCGGTATAATTTTGCATTTGATAACGGTCATTCAAATTGATATCATTGCCTTTTGTTCGGGAAAGAGAGACACTGGCAGCGCTCCACTCTACCCATGATTATGGGTTTTGGTCAAATATCATCTCTTTTTGATTATAATGTCAGGGTACTTTACAAAGCCGAAATGTAAACTCATAATTTCATTAATATTAATAGGGAGGTGATTTCAACAATTTCGAAATTTTTCGTTTAAAACCATTTCCTTGTGTTTAGGTAAGTATATCGGTCGATCGGATCACTGACTGAATATGCCATTTTATACTCATTCAAGTTGGCATTAAATTCATATATAATGACATTGAACTGTCGTGGCAAAGCAGAATTTGTTCAAAATCACGAATGAGCAAAATTTTAACCTTTCGCACGTGCAAACCTTAAGCGGACGTTGCGTCCGCATCTAATATTGAATCACCGTCAATTTTGGCGTGATGGTGTTTTATATATAGTTTGATAAGCATGAAAAGTTTCAAAGTATTTCAAGAAGAACTGTTATCACAACGGCACTCCAAAGTTGACAGAAATTGGTGAAAACAGCAATTTTCAGTGATTTTAGCAATTTTCTATCAATTTGGGCGTGGCCCCACGTGTGCAACTTTTCGATTTTCAACTTTAAAACTAGCCTATGACACAATTTAGATCTTTAGGAAGCAAAATTGAGCTCCACAACCCAAGGGATGGTGTAACACCAGAGAATACTAGAACGTAAAATTAGCGTTTTTATAAAATTATTCTTTAAAAAAGCACTAACTTCAATAGCGAATATCTTTATGAAGGAGCAAGCTAGAAACACTTTCCGGTAGATTTTGAGAATGCTTAAACAATTATCTTAGATGAAAATTTCCTCAAATTTTGAATAAAATTACTCCTCAATGGCGTAAAATCGATTTGAAAAATGACTACTTTGTGAAAAATCAAGTTTTAAAAATGGTTAACTTGATGACGTCATCAAGTGGTGATGATGACGTTGAATTACTTTTTAACATAATGTAAACTGAAGTCTAAACAATTATCTTCAAGACCTGTGGTCCGAAATGGCTGTATCTTTTATACTTCAGAATTTACGGACACTTAAATACAGGCTATAATTCACTGGCAAAGCGTCTATCCCTGAATATATATATATATGTATATATGTATATATATATGCTCGCCTAGTTTACTAAGCTTGAGCACTCTAGGGAATGAATAGATCTACCGCTCAGCTTAAATGCAAAGCTCCTAACTTGTAATGAGTTTGTAGAGCACTCTGGTACCTATGTAATTCCCTCATTATTAAGGCCTTGGTGGCCCAGTGGCGCGGCGTTGGGCCAGTAATCGCAAGGTTGCTGGTTCAATACCCGCCATCGGCAAAACCAACCTTGATGATTTGAGCCATACTGATGAGTCCTAATAGGACGAAACACTGTGTCTATGGATATATATGCTCGCCTAGTTTACTAAGCTTGAGCACTCTAGGGAATGAATAGATCTACCGCTCAGCTTAAATGCAAAGCTCCTAACTTGTAATGAGTTTGTAGAGCACTCTGGTACCTATGTAATTCCCTCATTATTAAGGCCTTGGTGGCCCAGTGGCGCGGCGTTGGGCCAGTAATCGCAAGGTTGCTGGTTCAATACCCGCCATCGGCAAAACCAACCTTGATGATTTGAGCCATACTGATGAGTCCTAATAGGACGAAACACTGTGTCTATGGATATGTATATATGTATGTATATATTTGACCAAAACCCATAATCATGGGTAGAGTGTACCGCTGCCAGTGTCTCTCTTTTCCAAACAAAAGGAAATGATATTAATTTGAGGAACAGTCCGCTAATGCAAATTGATACCGAGAATGAAATCGGTCGCTCGCTTTTTCAAATCAATAAGCTTTATTACAATTCGTGAGCCGTGATCGAATGGAAAAAGCGAGCGACCGATTTCATTCTCGGTATCAATTTGCATTAGCGGACTGTTCCTCAAATTAATATCATTTCCTTTTGTTTGGAAAAGAGAGACACTGGCAGCGGTACACTCTACCCATGATTATGGGTTTTGGTCAAATATCATCTCTTTTTGATTATAATGTCAGGATAATTTACACAGCTAGTCGAAACTTCATTAACAAGGAGGTAATTTCGACGATTTCGAAATTCTGCCTTTGAAAACGTTTCCTTGTGTTTAGTTAGGTATATCTGTCGATAACCGACTGAATATGGCACTTTTTACTCATTCAAGTTGGCATTAAATTCATATATAATGCCATTTAAATATCGTGGAAAGCAGAATATATTCGAAATCACGAATGAGCAAAATTCTCACCTTTCGCACGTGCAAACTTTGAGCGGACGTTACGTGCGCATACAATATTGAATCACCGTAAATTTTTGCGTAGTGGTATTTAATATATAGTTTGATAAGCATGCAAAGTTTCAGAAGATTTCAAAAAGAACTTGGATCACAACGGGACTCCAAAGTTGATAAAAATCGTGAAAATAACAATTTTTAGTGATTTTAGCTATTTTAAATCAATTTGGGCGTGTCCCCACGTGTGCAACTTTTCGATTTTTAACTTTAAAACTAGCCTATAACACAATTTACACCTTTAAGAAGCAAAATTGAGCTCCACAACCCAAGGGATAGCCCAACACCAGAGAATACTAATTCACAACTTTTGTGTTTTTATAAAATTATTCTTCAAAAAAGCACTAACTTCAATAGCAAATATCTTTATGAAGGAGTAAGGTAGGAAACTTTTCCGGTAGATTTTTTCCTTTTCACCCTTTTGAAAAAAGGCAATAGTGAAAGGTTACGAATGGACGTTTTTGCAGAAAAACGTGGATTTTGGGGATTGCAGTAGGTGGGTCAAATATATGTCGTGTTGCTTCCGTTCGTTACCATGTCAACTTGCCGCGCGCACGCGCGCGAGGATTGCTTGCGGAGATGTGGTGTATAGCTAGTCTGTGGTCAATGAATGCGCGGCGCACGAGCGTATTTTAATGTATACTAGTAATGTATAATATTTTGTAATAAGCCCAACTTGAACGTGGCACGCGTAGTGGAATTAAATTAAACTGGAATTAAACTTGAAATTACCAAGGAGAACACTAACGGACTCGTTTTGGCTATACATCAATTCATAAATAAGTTCATATATAAAACAAAAGCCGAATAAAAGTATGAAAATAAAAATCTTAAAATTTAACCGCGTTACAATATCACGAAGTGGAAATAAAATCAAATATAATAATTTAAATGCTAATAGAAATACTGGATGTGTGCATAAAAGCAAGTCCAAGGAGATATGTTAAACTACATAAGGTGATGGGACGTTGAAGGAGATGAGTAGGGGACGTGAAGCGAGGAGTGTATTGATGTTTCAATATTATTATTATAGCTGATTAGAGCTTATATTAATAGTTATAGTGAAATGGAAATCTAGCGTCCGCCAAGACGAAACAACGGGCGCAATTCTTGTTAGAATGCTTGAACAATTATCTAAGATGAAAATGTCCTCAGATTTTGAATAAAATTACTCTTTAATGGTGTAAAATCGATTTGAAAAGTTGTTGTTTTGTCAAAAATCAAGTTTAAAAAACACTTAAATTGATGACGTCATCAAGTGATGATGATGATGATAAATTATTTTTCAATATAAAGTAAACTAAAGTATAAACGATTATCTTTAAAACCTGTGGTTCGAAATGACTGTATCTTTTATACTTTTGAATCTACGGACACTTAAATGTAGGCTACAATTGACTGCAAAAAGCGTCTATATATATCTTCACGACAATCTGTTGTAAAACAGGGGTTCCAGAAAACCCACTTCCCGATACTCCTGAAACATGAAATTTTTTTTACTGTCGACTTGGACAAGGTCTAGACGCCCTGCAAAGTTTCAGATCTCTAACTCAATTTTAACATGGTTTTTAAGGCACCTGAATATGGCGATTTTGGGTTTTTTTACCTAATTTCGTATAACATGCTGGCGCGTATTTTGCGCAAATTTCTTAAAAACCTCCATATAACTATTTTTTATTCCTGTCATCTTTAACATTGAATCAGAATGTTTTGAACTTAAATGTACCTGCTGAATTACTTTCGAAAAAGTCTTAATGCCTGGAAAACAATAAAGGGGATATAATAGTATAGGGGGTAAATAGTATTGTGAATATAAGGGCGACGGTAATGCTTGCCAGCATTGTGATCACGACAATCTGTCGTAAAACAGGGGTTCTAGAAAACCCATTTTCCGATGCTCCTGAAACTTGAAACTTTTTTTGCAGTCGATTTGGTCAACGTCTAGACGCCCTAAAAAATTTCAGATCTCTAACTAAATTTTAACATGGTTTTTAACGCACCTGAATATGGCGATTTTGGGTTTTTTACCGAATTTCGTATAACAGTGCTGGCGAGTATTTTATGCAAATTTCTTAAAAATCTCAGCATAACTATTTTTTATTCCTGTCATCTTTGACATCAAATCAGAATGTTTTGAACTAAAAATAAATCTGCTGAACGACTTCCGATGAGTCTTAATGCCTGAAAAACTCCTGTCGGAGGCGGCGGCCTTCGGCCGCCGCTTCCGGCCGGAGTGCACGCTTCGCGTGCACGAAAGAGGCTTCCGACGTGTACCAAAGGGGGTGTAAAGTGTAAAGGGGGTATAATAGTAAAGGGGGTACAATAGTAAAGGGGGTACATAGTATACCCCCAATAAAGACACCGCTCGTGCTTGCCAGCACTGTGATCATATTGAATTCAACTACCTTTTGATCAAACTTGCCGTATGCTTGATTTTGAGTTACCTAGCTTTTAATGAGTTACCTAGCTAGCTAGTCTATTGCTCGCTTAGTTCTAGCTCTCTCTCTGTTCAGGAAGCACCCGGTATCACGTGCTAAAGTGTTTAGGTATGTATCCGACCACAATTTGTTTGTTGCGCCCTGTAAGGAAGGATGGTGGAGATTCTTTGATTAGGGGCTCTCATACAATGGGTTGTAGGTTTATAACCTACCAGGACGCGCGCCGAGTTGGACTATGGAACAGATATTTTACGAGTATCACCCGTTAAACAATGGGCGGCAAAATGAGACTGTGATCAAATCAGTAGCAATCGCATGACTACTCAAGAAATTACCTCAGCTGTAACGTATCCCTGATCCCATTCTTTTTTGTCGTTGCCACAGATTCCCAAGGGCTAGAACATAGAACATAGAATGCGTTACCAAAAACTATTCGTGTGTTCCGGAAACAATTTGTTGTAGGGCCGTTTAGAAACGCTGACTTTGTCGCGGAGGATAACGTTTTTAGAGTTAGAGTTGTCCGTTTTACTTTACGGACAATAGTAAAACTTTAACCGAGGCAAATTATACTAGTTTGCCTCATCAAACATTAGACAAATATGTCATTAACTTGATGATTAAGTCAATAGTCACACTATGTAGGGATACCAGAACAAAACTTTTATCTTTCTATGTAAGTATAAGCAGACGACAGACACGTCCAGCTTATATAAATAGTTGTCACTTTCTTTTCACTTTTGTCATAACGTGGCAAATTAAGATTCAATTCATCAATAACGCACAATGATTCCTTAATTACTGTTAAACTTTCAATCTAATTAATTACACTTGCAAGCTGTAAAGTATCCATAACCGTTTCCATCCGTTCTGCTTCGTTCCACCCAGTTCGTACATTCATTTATAATGTTAATTTCTACGACGAATAAATCATTATCATGCAAGCTAAATGTATCTGTTTTGAAACATAAATACTACTACTATAGTAGTATGCCATATCAGGAGCCCTATATAAAGTCAAAGAGTGTGTGTCCGGCTGAAGTCGGAAATGTAGATTATTATTTTGTGAACATGAATACGTTACCCTTGTTTAAGATGTTGGACGTCCAACAAACGTACGTTTGTTTTGATCTTGTAAGCTGCCAAGTGCCAGTTTCATGTAATCAAAACCTCTTGCCTGACTTACCAGGCACTATGTCTTATGAAATTGCTGGGCATACTTTTGGAACTTGCATGCACGTACCGGCTGGTAGTGGTACATTGTTTTCTAGCATATTCCTTGTCTATCAATATTATCATTGAGCGATCCAATAATGAAGATCAGCCCCAGTTGAGGTTGTTTTTTTCGGCATGTTCCTTGTTTATCAATATCATGTGATTTGTCCAATCAATAAGATCACCTTTGTGGAGTTATATAAGCCTCGGTTTAACCACTAAACTTATATTTTGTATTTTTGATGTAGTTAAGGGGTCGAGGTCAGGGGTGTTCAAATTAAGTTCCTTGTGACAATAAATTAGCGATCCTTTGTCTTTTCGAAATGATAATGATATGTTAATTCACATGAAAAAAATTTACAATATTCATTGCTCAATTACGAAGGAACAATCAAGTATCAAGCATCAAGTTTTCAGTAACACTTGAAAATTGAAATATATATAGAAGAAAAATAAAAATCACTATTTTATCTAAGAACGGTGTGACTCATTTACTGACAGTCACTAAAATTACACGGGGGTCTCAATGACCTCTATCATATTTAAAATGTCCTGCTTAGCAGTGTTCAGATCTCTCACTAACTCCTCGTGTTCAAGAAGAGATTTCTGAATCCGCTGATCAAGCACTATCCGCTGTTTCTTCTCCTCTTGGATGAACCTATTTAAATCAAGCAGCTTCACAGCTAGTTTCTGTTCGTAAAATTTAGTATATGCCCGGATATACTTCTTGTGAATGGGAAGGTTGTTACCAGTACTGCGGTGATATCCCCGCTTTAACTTTGCCGTCTCCACACACCTGGCACTGGACACCAGAGTTTTTTTAGTTTCCGTAAAGCTATTCTCGCTATCGCTATAAGTTTCGTGCAGGTTTGGCACAGATTTCTGATGGATAAAGGATCGCAGTTTCATTACTTTTAGATCGGGATTTAGTTTGTCCGCAGGGTCGGTAACGCTCGAGGAGGGCTGCTTTTTACTGCTGACATGCGAAGGACTGTGTCCGTAGATCGACTGGAGAACGGCCTTGTCACAGTACACTCTGTCATCCACGTGGATCGTAGATCGTCTCATTCCTTCCTTGGCCCTGAGAGTGATTGGTTTAATATCAGTGCAATATTCTTATCAGTGCAATATTCTTATTATGATTATACAACTATGTGATACCATACAGAAACTGCTGAACTAATGAATAGTATCGATTGAGGTGATATAACATGTTCAATCGGCCATTTAAATTATTCTCGATTGCATGCTTTCAGTTTCAAGCATCCTATGAATAGACTAATTTGAAGATACTATTCTATGGAGCGGTCGAATAGCACTTTAACTCTTTAAGTGGTTCTGAGTAATTGCAGACATAGTTCACTAATGCGTTACCGTGTTTAAATGCCCTTCAGCTGCTAAATTCAGGCTTTTGAAAGTCTTTATAAGAGGTCTGCAACGTTTAAAAAATCAGAACCTTGCATTGCAAGTTGCAATAAAATTCTTTCAATTTTGAATTTCTGGTGGTAGTATGTTTGATTTAATGGAGCAATCAAACGGCAAGTTGGTCGTTTAGCTCCGGACAGTCTATGCACGGTCCCTGCACGGTCCCAGCACAATGAACACTTGATGCACACACGGTTAGTAGCCGGCTAATGACCGCTTTTCAAGTGCCGGCTAGTAGCCGGTTTGGAACCTCAAGAAAGTAGGTCTGCTTTAGAGCTCAGCTAATAGCCGGCTAGTGACCGCCTAGTAGCCGGTTAGTAGCCGGCTAGTAGCCGGCTAGTGACCGCTTTTCAAGTGCCGGCTAGTAGCCGGCTAGTAGCCGGTTTGGAACCTCAAGAAAGTAGGTCTGCTTTAGAGCTCAGCTAATAGCCGGCTAGTGACCGCCTAGTAGCCAGTTAGTAGCCGTTTTGTGGTCACTATCCGGCTAGTAGCCGGTTAGTAGCCGGCTAGTGACCACTTTTTAAGTGCCGGTTAGTAGCCGGTTTGGTAATGTGAAGTTGAGGAGCTGTTATTACAAAAGTGGCTACTAGCCGGCTAGTAGCCGGTGTTCATATGTTACTGTGCAGGCACCGTGCATAGACCGTGCATAGACCGTGCAGGGAGTGTGCAGGGACTGACCGTGCAGGGAGTGTGCATCAAGTGTTCATTGTGCAGGGACCGTGCATGGAGTGTTCTTTTGTTGTTGCATGGACCGTGCAGGGACCGTGCATAGACTGTCCGGAGCTAAACGACCAACTTCCCCAATCAAACATTGTTAAGTAATGTCTCTAAAAGCCTTACAGTGGATAGCTCGGCACTCTGTTATTCGTTCCCACAATTGATACGTTTCATGGTTTATAACCGAACATTAAGATTAAATATTATTTTGCGGTAGTTAAGTGGCATGTATACTTTGACTATTGTCATCCTGAAAGACTGTGTCTTCCAGTACCCATAAAAACATTATATTATCGAGTCGTGAATAAGACTTAACACAACCCAAGCCAGGTAAGGATTGTATTCGACGTTTGAATTTCGTGTCAGATTTTGATGAGTTTTCTGTTACTCCCAATAGTATAATAATGAGCTTTTTGAAGCTAGCAAGAGGAACAGATTTGTTCCAAATATTGCCTCACCTGTCAGACTCAGGTAGCAGTTGGTGCCTCCTCCGTACAACAGCAATGCCCTCAGGGTTGATCCTTACTTCGATCTCCTTGTAATAGTCATCCTCGGCGGGCTTGATGAAAGTAGTGTTAAACATCTCGTCGTCAGTCTTGTAGAACACCTCGTCTGAGTACTTGTTCCGGGTGCCCGCCGTGCTCAGCCTGTCGAAGTATCATTGGTTCAATAGTTCAACTTAATACGACATGACGTCCATCGTCTTGATATAAATAATCCTATGATACTCAAGCTTAACAGTTTATAGTTGATGGTTTTTTAATATCACATGAGTCCAGATATATCTACGATTTGACAGTTTATTCGTTGTAGGAGTTTTCCAGAATTTGCTTATTTTAAGAAAATATAATGCAAATTTACGTCGCAGATTTGATAATAATCTGGAGCCAGACATATGGTATACGTGATATTTAGAAATTAACTTATAGATGCCTAACAGATTAGCTTTATCGTCGCGTTGCATTTGCAGTAGTTATTTAATGGAATATTGGCGAACAAGCGTGTGCGTGAACTTCAAAGAAATATGTGCGGTTACTGACAGTGATAGTGATACTGTATTTATTCAATCAAAATGTTCGTTTCCATCAATACTCTTCAACAAGGTGTCTGTTAGAAGGACGTTACATTTGTTACCAGTCACCATGTGCACATTGCATGACACGTTACGCACTAATATAAATCTGGGAGCAGGTTATTCACATAATATCTCATTTAAATTATGTTTCACCGGATGGCAACTGAGATAAACGTTTTAAAATAATAAATATTGATCAGAATCGATTCAAATTTGAATCGAACTACCTTAAGGCCAATAGATTTAACAAGTTACCATCATTTTAATCACAGATTTCGCAAAGTTTTAGTCTACAACAATTTTAGTCACATTTTTCGACTTTTCGAGACCATTTTCCATTCCTTTTATTTTATTTTTCCATAACACAAAGCAGCGGTTTTAACTATCCCATATTCATCCACAGTACTTTTAAATAGTGACCTAACTTGGCTCGTGACAAATATTTTTTGATGCAGTTTTTGCATTAGGTTAGGAAAGGCTAAATTCTAGAAAGGGGCGTTTCACATAATTACTTCATGAAGTATCTGCATCTAGTTTAACTCACTGAATTCAATGAATTAAACTAGATGCAGATACTGCCTGATGGAAAATGGAAGTAAGAGAATGTGAAAGCATATAAGCAGTGGATTACACGTGTAATAGTTAAAGTAGTTCAGCAGTAGTTCAGCAGCATAATATTCATGTCATATATGCTCTACCGAAATTTTGGTCTGCTTTTAAATTAGTTGCCGAAAAATGTAGTCTCAATAAATTTGGTTTACAACAATCAAAATTTTGACTAAATTTATGTCGACTAAATTTGTCATTCTTAAGGTATGTTGATCAATAATGAGGGTTGATGATACATCATACAATGTTGATAGAATTTTTATAAAATTATGATAAAATTTTGATGCAATAATGATCATCGAAGGATCATTGTTGATCAATAATAATGTTGAAATCAAGATTGTGAAGGGTCTTAGTCCCAGGGCTATTCAATACAAGCAGTGTTCACTTTTTTTCGTGTCGTTTTGTGCAGATAATAAAAATAATAAATTGAAATTGAATAACACCGCTTTTAAGATAAAACTTATATTCAGCAGTGTTTGAACTATTCATCCCAGAAAATATCATGAATACTGAGCTAAAAGATAACTTATGCTCGAAAATATATCGTCAATACTAAAGCCCGAAAATGGTACTTAAATATATTATGCAAAGATCGAATTCCAAATACGACCGCAATAGTTATCCATAAAGTTTTTCAAGTTCATATGGGGACAGTTTGAAAAGGTAAGATTTTATAGAAAAGCTTTAAAAGATTTAAAAGATCAACATCGAATAAAATAAATTTGATTTCTCAGTCACTAAGTGCCCTTTTCACTTTTTCAGTTCTATTGAATCGATCGTTTGCTTAGGATTGAAAATTAATGAAAGAATTATTTTAGATACAGCATTCATTTTATTGGCTTTTTAAAAAAATCGACCCATGATGCTAAAGAGAGTAAGAAATCGCTACTCTTATTTCATCATTACATTGATTTAATTATTAAATTAATCTATATTCAAATTAATTGTTTTTTAAATTTTGGTTTTGGGGTTCAAAAAGTGGGCCTTACTTCATTCTTATTCTACACTGGACGAAACATTTTCTGGATTTAATCAAGTATTATGGATTATTATTTTGCTCTACAGTCGATACCTCAAATAAATCATTCGAACAAGGCTCACTTAACTTGATAAAGCATTATGTTGCTTCATTAAAACCTAAATGATTTGTTCCCGTATGAGTTTTTTTAAAGGGTTCTGTAAATTTTGACATATTGACCACACACTGTAGCTGAATTTTTACGACATTTGACGTAAGTCACCGTCCGCAAAACTGTTGATTTTACAGCAGGGATGTTTTCTCAATATAATATAAATCACAAATCTTACCTAAGAACGTCTGAGTTTCGTTTGTCCTTGATTTCTCCGATCTTCTGATTATCCTGAGCAGTGTAATCCTCAAGTTCTTTCTTGATTTCTTTTAACTTTCTTTGAAGTGTTGCTCCACTGTAGTTTCCTTGTTTTGGTGGACTGTACCGTTTTAACAAGTCCTGCATCTCTGTTCTGAGATGCTGCTTACTTTCTGTTGACTGTTCCACCATCGTCGTATCCAAATCGTTATCAAGATCCACGTCACCATTATAGGCAGCTTCAATCGTTATATCTGGAGCCTCAATTGTTATTTCCGGAGATTCCATCCTTATATTGGACCCCTCCGCGTACACACCTCTAACCTTGAACTCTGGGTTCTCCGTTAACACACTTTTGGTCACTGTGGCCTTGGCCTTGCCATCTGCACTTAGAGGATTGTTACATTCTGTGCACCTTTTGACCGGGGTGAAAGTTGGGTTTTGGTAGGCTTTAATGGCTTTCGGTTTTACAAGGGTCTGTTTCGCGTGACTGATATCGCCACTGAAGTTAACCGTTTGAGAGTTTCCACGAGATGAACAATCTGAATTGGACGACTGTCTCACGTGATCAAAGTTGGGTGTAGACCGTGACGACTTTGATTTGCTTTTAACACTCTCAATCGAAGAAGTGCCTGAATCACGTCGCTCTGAGTTGCGATCTTTAGTCGGGGTAGAAGATTTGGGCATGATAGAACCCCGGGTTACATTCTTAAGCCTGACAGATTCAAGACTTGGTGCTGGCGAGCTGCTCTGACTTGTTTTTGACATACAGGGACTTCCACTCGAAGATAGGTTAGCCCTTCTCCTGGTCAACTTGCTTTCTCTTTTTGGTGACCCCGAAGACTCCTCAAACAATTTAGAGTTCCTTTGCACTGATGGAAGATGATTAGTATTTCTCGGGTGAACCAGAGGACTGACCAGACCTCGAACACAAGCAGATCCATTCATTATAGCGTCCTCCTGTTCCCTGTTAACATCCGAACAAGATGTAGCGGGAAAGCCTGTTTCCATGACTATAGGGATGCTGTGAACACTGTCTCTGTCAGTTACTTTCTTCATCACTCCCATGGTGTCATCCTCCTGCTTTGTGGTTTTCTTCTTACGGAATATAAAGGGAGAAAGCGCACGTTTGAGGGATCCAAATGAGCCTCCACTCGGTTTACCTGACTTTGTTTTGTTCATCTGGGCTTCTGATTGAGTCCTTCGGATGTCTTTGGAGAATAGGTTTTTCCTTTTTCCGCCATGAATGGCTAGGGATTGGTTCTTTCCCAACGATTTACCCCATCCATCATCCATTTCTTTGAACGAGAGCGGTCCCGCGGGAGCTGAAGATTTAGGAGGAAGAGTGCTGCCTCTCTTTTTATCAAGCTGATGAGGGTGTTTATAACTAACAGGTGGTTCTGAATGCCTGGAGACTGAAGAGTGATCACTAACACTACTAGGAATACTAGGCTGTGAGTCTGTAGCAACGTTCTGGAGATGATAAGTTCGGGTCAGATAACGATCCGAACCAAACTTAGCCTGGTGCAGGTCCCTAGTCGCGGAGGAGGTACTATCAAAGATATTACAAGTGTCGTTATTAAAGATACACAACGGAGAGGCAGGTGTAGTAACTGAAGAGATTGACGTGCTGTAATTCCCAACTGTGGGAAGTAGTCCAGGAGATGCCCGCTCTGGTGCTGGTGTCTTATCTCCTTCCTTCGTCACACGGAGTTTTTGTGCTTCGAGGAATGTGTCCGCAAAGTGGCTACTCACCCTACTCCCTCCGCTCACTGGCTTTCCCTTGTTCTGCATGATCTTATCGGATCTCAGTACAACGTCACCAGAGCTTCATATTACCGCTAGATCTGAATAGTACAAGTGTTTAAGGGGGGCTAATTGGTTTCAGGAGATAAACATTGTAATTGGAGGGAGGAATTGGCAAATAATTTAGTGAAATTCGAACCGTGTAATTATATTAAACCAATATACGTAGAGCACTTTTAAGGGTGTCTCTTACGGTGATGTTATCGCTAAATGATTAACTCGATCACATCATGTAGCCTTGGCGTGATTCGCTCACTCAAAATAAAGACCGGTAGAGACATTCTATTGGCTTTCTATGAGGTACACACTAAATTTTTAGTTTTAAAAACCTTTTTATCTTATCACGACTGGTTGGCAGCGGTGGATTATATATGTACGTACAGCAACATAATGTATGTATATACCAGCATGACGTTTACAATCACCGATGGAATGCATGTCCAAACCCTGCCTACCTGCCTAGGTCGGTCCAGATGAAACCAAGAATACTGTAAAAAACAGCGATGACTGTTTGAAGTAACACAACAATAACTCGTAAACAGAAATATGAACGAAGCTGAAACACCAGACATATCTTAAAATAGAAACCATCAAAGTCTACCAAATGGTAGTGCAGGGATATCAGGCAAAATATTTTACACGGCAGAAAATTTGCAAGGTCAACTGAACAATCATCCTTCAATTATCCTCTTGTTACAAAAACTTAAACGGCATAAAATTGATACGGATGCGTCAGTAAATGTTCTGTGCTAAGGTATAATGGTCACACAAGCAGTAAGTACCATCAATTATCATGGACATGTGCTTGCAAGACACGTCCGCATCAAACTAACAAACTGAAGGACAAAATGATTTGAGTTTCGTGAAACGAATAGGAGATAAATAAATGAAGACAAAGAGAATCAGAAAGATTTAACATCACCTCTATACAGCTATTTAGAAAGTATTTTAGGAGTGGCTACACATGAACTAGCACCGTACCGCAAAACAACGCAAGTACCACCACTAGGAAGTGGACTGAGGGGCAGTTCTTCCTCAGATATTATAATATGAGGGTGGGTCACTACATATTATAGCTGGACACCGCACATTTCAGGCAGAAGCTGGCAAATTGCCCGGAGTTAAAGAGAGAAGCCTTGGTAATTACACCTGCCATTCTAGACAGCTCGGTTAGCTCCACTCTGCCGGGTCGGAGGGAGCAACAACAAACTGATGTGTACTAGTACACGGAGTCATGTCGCTGTATTGTGGCATCTCTGCAAAAAGAGCGATGACTTTATGACATTTAACTCTGGAATTAGTCGTTAATTTTTACTACAGTTGTCGAAATATCCGCGTCATATTGTACACTTACCGATATATCGGCACATCCTGAAAACATTATACAGAGTACAGACTGATGGCGTGTATCAACTTACTGGTACTCCACCCAGTAGTAATAATTTCTCAGGAGACCAGGACAGAAAGCTGACCAACTGACTAACTGTGTACAAAGCTTTAAAACTTTTAATACAAACCAAACCATTGATCCTAGCAATTCTGCATAATCTAATTCAATATATGTTAAAGATTTGATGTTAAACCATGCTAAACAAAGGTCGGACCAGTCTACGAACCACAGAGCACACGTTCAGACTAGCCAACAAGTCGTCAGGAAGACAGAACACGGACTGAAGATTAGTAAAACCGAGGTGGTAGTTCCAGCCTTGCAGACTGATATTGTAAGAGTCATACAACCCGGCCCAGACGATGGCAACAGTATCTGGGGCGGCAGCAGCACCTATTTTAAAGAGATAGACTGAACAGTGAACAATGCAGACTAGTGTGGCCACGAGAAAACTTCAAGTTAGAGCACCGTTCATTAGAGGGGAGAGCACAATGGAGCCATTAAGATTAGAGCTGACTACTTGACTAAAGCTCTTCTCCTCTTCTCCGGAATGTACAGGTCATTCAGAGGTTCTTATTAAGCTGGCTTTTATTCGCAAGGTCACGCCCTACTTATACTGAAAAACTGATGTGAAGTCACGCAAGTTCAAATACATTAAAATCGGCCGGCAGCGAAATATGAACATAATATATGCAATGTTTTAAGTGATATGTCAAACGAGTTAAAGAAACTACATAGAAGCCACAGTATTAAATTATACTTTTAAACTTCTCGGGGAGCATGTTTTATTGTTTTGGACATAATGATAAAAGAATAAAATGTCGCATGTGTAATACATAAGAATAGAATCTTACAGAGCGTACAATAATATCAAAACATGCACTCCCCCGGACTTTACTGATAACTCCCGGACAGCTATGAGTAAATAACAGAGGAAATACTGAGGAACAGTTTGCAAGCAAATCATACAACGGGGGATCCTCATAATGTGTACACTGCGCAAACACTACCTCTGAGAGAACCTATAGAGATGATTGCTTGCCAAGTGCATCCTCTGGTGGCTGGCGAATATATCTTATCACTAGGTGGCACAATCAGCTGATACAGGCAATATGCTTGATTGTATGATTAGATTATGTGATAATTACTAATTAGAGGTGAGACCTTATTAGAGGAGGAATTGTAATCAGGTGAAGAAGATTGTCTGACCAAAGGAACCCTGAGAGAAACTGTAAAGTGACAGATAGAGTGTAAATAGAAACTACGGTTGCTAAAGATCTAGGCATACAGCATAATTACAAGGTCAGAAGGGCGAAGGCTACACAAAAGTGAATGACAAATTTCAGGGTGGAACCTCAATACACTGTCCAGGGGATATAATATACCTACTACAAATTATTATAGCAAGGGAATCTCTAAAAGTACATATCGGCTAATACTTCACTACTGTTGGGAGAAAGCTGTCGAAAAAGGTCCGAGTGCTAACAGCAGCCAACGAGGGTTCTCCAGCTACGTCAATGACAAAGTAGGACAACTAATTAGACTATTAGAGGATACATATCATCTTTAACTCTATTGGGAAGTGTATAACATGTATCTTGAATCTATAGTTTAGATCTCTGGTATGTGTCTCCGGTATGTCTATGGTATGTTTCTCTGGTATGTTTCTCTGGTATGTTTCTCTGGTATGTTTCTCTGGTATGTGTTTCTGGTATGTGTCTCCCGTATGTCTCTGGTATGTTTATGTATATGGTTATGTCTATTGTATGTCTATGGTATGTCTATGGTATGTCTATGGTATGTCTATGGTATGTCTATGGTATGTCTATGGTATGTATATGGTATGTATATGGTATGTCTATGGTATGTCTATGGTATGTCTATGGTATGTCTATGGTATGTCTATGGTATGTCTATGGTATGTCTATGGTATGTCTATGATATGTGTATGGTATGTCTATGGTATGTCTATGGTATGTCTATGGTATGTTTATGGTATGTCTATGGTATGTTTATGGTATGTCTGGTATATCTGGTATGTCTCTGGTGTGTTTCTGGTATGTCGTCAATAAATTGTCTTCATTATCATAGTTAACAGAGCCGAGGTACATACAAAACTGTCGCGCACTATAAAGAGCTCTATCACTGCAGACGTATAAAACATAAAATACTAGAAACCCGCTAGTCGAAAGCTTTGTTCGAGGAAATTTTAAAAATCAGTTATGTTTTAATTTCTCTTCATCAAATAGCTCTGTTATACTGTAGACATAATGGAATTTATCTAACAATGGCGACAGCGTTGTTAGTATTCGGATTCCCAAAACGATACTTTTTACCGCATCAAAAAATACCAATCACAACCAAAGTTATGAATATAAGTCATAGCGTGAGCGTAAATGTGAGCTAGTTTTGAAATTATGACGTAGCATACAGCATCACAACGCGCGTAGTTAAGATGTTATTGCTCGCGCACGTGCATTTTAACGTTGCTACGCAACAGCGCAGTAAACCTTTGCTAAAATAACGACATTATTCTAACGGTTATTTTACCTCACTTCCGACGTTAATTATAAAAAATCTAAAGCCTAAATCAAAATTCTAAGAATGCTATAGCCTATTCCTATCCTTTTTCTACAACCCTGCTAAAAATGGCGAGGTTTCAACTCCATTTGCGAGCTGGGTTTGATTTCACCAGAGGGTCATTTTGAGGTCGATTTTCGGTGTTTTTTCTTCTATGTCCCCGTTGCCGGGGAAATTTCGTCAAGTTTAAAATATAATATAGATGTAAACAGGAGAACAACAAACTGCACAACAAAAACTTTAAAATGGTGGTTATATGCGGCCTGAGAGCGGTACACACAAGTTCCAGAAACACCGTGTCACACTGCGTGAACATCTGTAGTTACTGACAATGACATATTCTTTAACCCCATGTAATCCAATTGTGTATAATCTAATTTAACCCCTCTTTGTCCAGAGATTGCAACCCGAGCCTACAACGGCGGTGGACCCAGAGTTGTCTCGGGGCTCGTGTAACACACAAGTCACAACATTTCTACAAACATCACCGTACTGGCGCCACGCACCACACCTTTTATACCTGATTAAGAGGTGCTGGCGATGGAGTAAATGCAGTGATCTTAAACCCTAATTCTTGTTTTCTAGCTGACTTCTTTTTGAAGAAATTGCACGGAATGTTGGAAAATTTGTAATTCAGTTGGACGCTGGACTGCCGGACGGCTGATTATTAAAAATACCCATCATTGCTCGTAGAAATTGTAAACAGATTATGAAGATTGAGGTGATCATTGCTCAAAAATATATATTCATGGTGGCGAATGAACAAATGTAAATTACAGCAGAAACTGATATAATCATAATAGTTATGGGTTATCTCCATTATTCATGTAATCTTTAGTAAATCGTGATTGTAATCCACGACAAAGAGTCAGCATATTGATTTGATTAAACAACAGAGGAAATTATGATTTAAACCACAGGGAATACGATTATGTTCTATCAGTAACAATTACCCATGACGGTTCAACAGGCCAAACTAATTTTGTGATTGTGAGATGGCAATCCCTCATTAATTATACTATTGCTTGTACTTACTAGCTTATTAGATAGCAGGTACCCTCTATTATCTATACATTGTT